GGGGCGTGTTATGTGTAGTAGGAGTGGGAGGCTCGTGGGACAAGGACACGCGATCGTAGATGACCAGCTGCAGCCAGCGCAGCACCAGCCGCAGACTCATCGCCAGCAGTAAGAGTGCGACGTGATCTCCGTCCATGCGACAGAGCGAGCACCCAAGCAGCGCGTCCCATCTGATCCGGATATCCTGTGTTGCTTCAAGGACGATCGGGAATGCAATCGGACAGGGCTCAGCTTCCCGTTTCCGAAGACTCGACAGAGATTCGGCCTGCACGCCCACGCAGTTGCACTTGTGGCAGGGGATACTGGCGTTGGCTCTTGCTCCTGGAGCATCGGACTGAGGTTGTAGTAGCTGGTACGATGAGAGAGGCGCAGGGAATGACGAATACTCTTCTTCTGAGAACGCCTGTATGTTATTCTTGGACGAGAGAAACAAGTGCATGTCAGTGGTTTTTCATATTCCAGGTCTGGGATTCGGATCAAAGAGGAAGCCACCGTTGGACATACTGGAGCGGCAGAAGACGAGGTACCCCCAGATTCAACCAAGTAGGTCCGTGCCAGACAAGCAGGTGCGCTCGAAGACAAATTGGTATGAAGGTCTTGATCTGATAGGGTCGCTAAAGGTGATCTGAAAATGAACTCATCGGGACGAGTCGTTGGAATCTCGAAATTTCCACCCGTCAGTAACGGTGACTGTGGCAGATCCCAGTTCCATGCCTCGGACAGTCCGCTGTCTTGGGTTATATCGGCACAAGACGAGAGATCAGTCGTCGAAGGGGGGCTGACTGTCTTGTTTTTTGAACCCTTAGGTCGACCGATGCGGTTGGGAGCACTGTAGATGCACGTATGTCTATATCTTGTACAGGTCATACAAGGCCGCCCGCCGGAGCATTTCATCTTCATGTTGTGGCATGAGTCGCATGCTAAGCGCACCCTTCTTGCGGAGGTAGAGTCCATAGCGTGGCGTAGCAGAGAGATATCTGCCGATTTTCTGGGAGCCAAGGTCGGCTGTAGGTGTTATCGTAGACGAGGTAGCTGTTCAACAAACACTTGCGGAAAGCGCAAGAAGAGGGTGTTAAAGACATACTTAGACCCTAGAGTCCAGGATTTGTATACCTGCAGAAACCGGAAACCCCCGTAAGGGAGGACTAACTGACAGCTGACGTTTGCTGTTGCACTTCTAACCCATTCTTTTCGTCCAAGATTCCCTGATTTCATGATTCACGACAGAGGATCGACCTCGACGCCGGTGTATCCAATCAAATGTGATGACTCACTTCTCGCTTGAGCACAGTTCGCCCTGACACACGGAGAGCGACAAGCCAGAGAGCATTTCCCTCGGCGGGCACTGACCCAGTCCATCCCAGCCCGCCCGCCTGCACGGCCCAGGGACATATAAGTCAACGTCCGACTGCTGCAGCGGTGGTTGAAACCTTGTGTGATTGGCCTCAAACTTGGATATCATCAGCCAAGCCCCCTGCCCAATAGCAAGGCCATAGTGCATCAACTCCTGCAACTGCACTATGATTTCAACCCAGCAAGGTGTGCACGAGAGACATGCTAAACCCGCCAATGATATGTCAGAGAATACTGCGTCCAATCGTGTAGCAACGGTCGTGTTTCCACGCGGTTGAGTGAATTGTTCGTGCCAAAGACAGGGCAGCTTCGAAGTTCAGGCTCGAGATTGGCCGGAAAGCAGCTCCTCGCCAAATTTGGGTTGACGCGTGACCGGCACAGGCCTATTGTCTATGTAAGGGGCAGAGCCAGACCGAAGGACGGTAGTATCAACTGTCTCTCCAGGCTGGTGATTCCCAGTTTCGGAACAGTGTCCCGGTGGGCCAAACAGAGCACACGGTGAGCATCGATGGCTGCAGCTCAACTCAGACTGTCCCTGCCTTCTTGTTCGGTACTCTCATCCTGTTCACAGTATGCTCCTGTGGCCTCAACCCCCTGTTAAGCGGACAGGTGCGCGACCGCCAAGTCGGCTAATGCTTTCGCCCATTCAGAGGGAGAGCCCTGCTTATCAGTCAATGGCAAAGTCTATTGTAAGTACTGGGTCCCTGAGAAGACGGTCGCGTGGGGAATTGGAGGCATGTGCTTGTTCTGTAAGAACGTTGGGGTGACCTAGTACTTTTCACGAGCGTGCCTCGACGTGAGGCAATAGTTTCGACAAGGAAGACGCTTACGCAGTTGCAGAAGAGGTCGTCCTATCCTTGAGTATTAACCGATGCAAGCCGATGCAAGGGATGAGAAGAATCACTGAGTCTATCACCAATCAGACCCATGACGCTCTGGCCGAATCCGCTTATTTGTTGGTGAAATGTCCCGAGCATTGTGCTGCAGCTTGCATTCATTGCAACTTGTCTTCAGACAGGCAGCAGAGGGAGCTCTTTGGTAGCTGCCTGCTGCATGATCAACCAGCATGTGTTACTTCTCCTTGTGTTGGTTCTTTCGCTGACGGAGTGGAGCGGAGCGGAGGAACAAATGCCGTATGTCACGTGGCATCACGTGGCATCACGTGGCCGTCGACCAACCTTCCCTTTTCCACTTGCTTTTCCTCACTTCCTCACTTGTTTACATTGCATTTTGCATGGAACAACTATCGTCTCTCTCACTCACGTGCGGATCAATCATAGTCTGCACATTTCACAGAAGGCCCTTTCAGCCATTTCATTGAAAGTGGAGACTCGATAGGATAACCGATTCTTAGCCTGAATGACGTGCGTTTGGTTGGCGATGGCCTCAGCCTCGGTTGTCCAAATGGTGCTGCAGTGCGGGGAAACCTAACCTTAAACCCTCTCTAAGTGCCCTCCTGCAGGGCTTGTTTCTCCATGGATCAACATCTTCATTCACCCTTCATCATGAGCACAGAGGCTCGTGTTCGCAAGCGCGTTCCCAAGTCCTGTAAACGGTGTCATCGCCGCAAGCAACGCTGTGTGGGGTATCCGACATGCGCGGGATGTGAGGCCGCTAACCAGCCATGCTTGCGCTCCGAAACCGTCCCCTCATGGCATCACGCTATGTCCAAGGGAGCCTTGGTTCAAAGAATTGAAATGCTCGAATCCCAATTGGCCACCGCGTTACAGCGCCCAGCGCTGGAGCCACATGCAGATCAGGATACAGCGTCAAGCCATCACAACCCGGATCAGTCTGCTGTCCTCTCCTTGTTATCGCTTGGTCGCGAACACAACCATGGTCCAGCATATCTGGGGCCGTCATCGGGCCGGACCATCGCGAAGAACCTAGGTGGCATTGTAGACGATACCGTATGGACCGAGTCCATCCCCATCAATGCTGGTTTCCAACGCAGGGAAGGCATTGCCTCGAACCCCTCTGCATTGAGCAGCACTACTTCCCTCCCAGGTCTTGATGGGGGCTCCAAGCTCATCGATGCTTATTTTCTAGACATGCATACTCGACTTCCGTTCTTGGATCGCTCCGAGATCTACCACCTACACCGGACCATCCACCAGAACAATCATTCGGTGATTCGCGGGGTTGAGACCTTCAAGATCTTTATGGTCTATGCCTTAGGGGCCTCCATACTGCAAATGACTGATTCATATGACTCAACTCCCCCTCGCGATTTTTGGACTGCAGCATCCAATTCCCACAGCGGCCTCAAATCAACTTCGACATATGCGAGAATTGAGGCAATCATGTTACTGGTCCTCTATGATTTGCGCTCAGCCTCGCATTCGACTGTGTGGTATACGATAGGCCTAGCGATGCGTATCTGCGTTGACCTTGGGCTACACCGCGAAAGCCAGTATCGAGCGATGCGACCGCACGCTGCCCAGCTGCGGCGTCGCCTGTTCTGGAGCGTATACCTGGTCGAGAGATACGTGTGTTGGTCTCTGGGCCGTCCGTTCAGCATCGCCGAAACAGACATAGATGCTGATGTACCGGCTGACATGGATGACGCTACCAATGACGATCGGCAAGTTGATCAGATGGTGCAGACTCCTTCGGACCCGACGGCGCGAACACCAGGCCCAAATCTTCGTAGATTCATTTCTACTATCCGACTTCAGCGCATCATGTCTCGAATTCACTCCGAGATATACCGTGTCGATCGAGACCTACCAGCATTGATCACCAAAGTACCCTCGTTGATGGCTTCTCTCGAAGAATTCCAGCACGCTCAACCGGTGATGGCGCCCGAGGAATCAACCTTTGTACGCATGCACTGGTATAACTGCATCCGCATGCTACTACAGCGATTCCTTAGCGTTCTTCCCTGCGAGGATCCCATGATCCAGAAATGTCTCTTCGTTTCCGGCAAAATGTGCCAGTGCTTCAAGACACTGCGGCAAAGAGACTCATCTGGGTACTCGTTTCTTCTGGTCAATTCATTGTTCATGGCTGGATTGACCATGTGGTAAGCTCTGTCAGACTCAGTGGAGAAGCGCGGCTGATCAAAGTAGTCTCTGTCTTTTCCGGGCGCCCCATCTCTGGAGCGTGGCAGTGTCGGACGACTTGCGGGCCTGCTCGTTGGTGATGTTTATGATGGCGGAGCGAAACACCACCCTGCGCAGATATCGCGATGGGCTAGAAACCGTCATGACCAGAGCCATTGAGTTCGTGAATAATGCCACCACCGCGCCGACCGACAATACCGGAGGGCTGTCAGCAGCCCCGTCCGGCGAGCCATGGTGCCACATTGATGGAGTGTCCCATCCTGGAGTGCAAGCTACCTACGGGTCCCATGGCCTTCCTGAATGGATTGATTTACCCACCCCACCTACCGGTGCTGACTCAATTCCCTACGAGGGACCGGGCCTACAATGCCACGGATTACAAGAGATGCTAGATAACCTGCACTCGTTTGGCGATATGCTGACGGATGATTTCTGGGCCGACCTTCCGTGGACATCAATGGCAGGATAGCGCCGAGATATGGCCGGAAATTCAAGCATAATTCATACATATCATTGTCACTACGAGCAGGATCATGAAAGTGTCATTCCACATTTCGAAGCACATATGCCAGTCTCCCACTTTTACCAGTGCGCAGGGGATAGTGTATCCTCAATACCCAGATCTTCTCTCCTGGACTTGCTCTCCGGATCAAAATAAGGAATCTCACCAACCCCCACGGCCCGGTTTCCACTCCTCGGCCCGAAGCCTTCGTGGTCGCCAGTAGCGGTGTGGAAGACACTGCGATTGTCCCAGATGGCTGGTCTTTGTTAGCATGAATCGAGCCACAGAGATCATGGAGACCCACCAATATCATTGGGCTCGTTCCATTTGAACCGGACTTGGAGATCATGCCCGTGGATGATCAGATCGTTGAAATATTGGAGCATGTTTGCACTCTCTTTGCGACTCAGTTCGTTGATCTTGGAGGGGAAAGCGCCTGGTTGCAGACCTCGTTAGCAGTATGCTTTGGTTCCAGATGCGCCTCAGACTCACCAGCAGGAAAGATCGACTTCCACCCGGTGATCGGGTTCGTGCGCACCACCTACACCCACATAATCAGCACCCCCACCTACCATCCACATTCGAACGTAGGGAAAGACCAACCGGATGAACCGCCACCAACTCATCGCCCACATTGACCGGCGCGCCTCGTTCCCCGGTAAACATCTTGAACCCCCCCACCTGCGCCATTCTGCGGAACCCCTCGCCAACGTGCGTGACCGTGAGCCCCTCCACAAAGGCGCGGTACGGCTTACTCAAGCGATCGTACATCTCATACCCGGACGCCCACAGCGTATCCCCGCCGGTGGTGGGCAGCTGGATGAGCCGCAAGCTCGAGAAATCGGCCGGCGCCTTCTCGAAAGCGATGTCGCTGTGCCAGACGGCCGCCTGGCTGGTGTAGTCCGAGCCCTTGTACAGTTTCTTGCGGCCTTCGGAGTTGATGGTGCTGATCTCGGGGTCCGGGTCGCCGAACTCGCGGGCGTCGTTGGTAACAGGGTGGATGTGCAGGCCGTGGGTGGTGGGGCGGGTGGTCAGTTCGCCGAGGCGGAGGATGAGCTGCTTCTGGAGGGCGTTGGTGAGGTTGTCTTGGGCGCGGAAGAAGACGACGCCGCGTTCGGCGACTGCGTGCTGGCGTTAGTGGGATGGGGGGATTAGGTTTGGGGTGGACGAACTCATGACGGCCAGATCGCGGATGCGCTGCTCCGCCTCTGGACTGTTTAGGATATCGTCGACGATGTTGCAGCTTCCCTTGAGGAATTCATTGCCGATCACTGGGGTCACCATCACGGGGTGGAAGGCGTCCAGGGACCCGCTAGATTGGATGCGTGGATGGGGCGCCATTGTGTAGTGGTTATTGCTTGTGATTTTCTTGTAAGCGTTCTTCCAACACAATGTGGATAGTTACATAGATTCTGCTCGGAGACTGCATGTCTTATCTATTCGTAGGTTTCAACGCAGGTCGGAAGGTGAAGCGCTGGTCGACCGCGCGCATCGGCTTTCGGCGTTTAGATGGAGCTTGACTGTCTTGTGGGGCTATCGCCGACCACCGTCGCGCCCGCGCAGCCAATGTTTGAGGTACAGCGTGACACCATCTGAGCCTTGGTGCTTGTGATATGCCAAGATCTAGGCTTGCTTGACAGCGCTTTGGTTTGTAGCTGGGAATTTCCAACAGACATCCTGGTTCTGGAGGATATCGCATCGTGGGATGATGTTCGGCCTTATGCCGCCTTGTGCATTTGTACCTGGATTGCGGGCCATGCCCTCGGATGTATCGGCTCCTTGCACGCAAGCGGTGTCCAGGACCAAATAGTACTGGGAGTTCTCAAGACCGACATGTGTAGATCTCAGATGTGGGTGCTAGGCCCACTGATGAGAGCCATCGCCCGACACATACTGTACCTAGATCAAGTCTGACCCGAAACCACCATCCACACCGAAGACAAACCGTTCTGGACCTTCACTACAAATAGTCTTGAATTTCTCCAAACAAATCACAGCTCATAAACTCATCTTCATTATTATATATATCGCATATCCCGTATCACCATAGCATACCCCACCGTTTCCTCATAATTACATCCCCCGCATATCACCCCGAAGCATTAGTATGTACAACCCTCCATCCAGATACTATACACCTCCGCACACCCACCCCATCACCACCAACCGCACCTAAAACACGGAGCTGGTGACATTGACCGTCACATTGCGGAAGGTGCACCCCTCGGTCTTGTACAGACTGGCATAGCGGCCCTCGAGCACGGCCCCCACAAACGTCAACGCGGCGGCGTGGCCGTTGATCTGGTCGGCGGAATGGCCGCCGACGGTGTTGCGCTCGTAGAGGATGTTGGCGCCGACGCCGCAGTAGCGGGCGAGCAGCACGTCCGTGTCGCGGATGGGGCTGACCTCGTCGTGGATGGCCTTGTAGGCGTACACGGGCAGCCGCGGCACGCCGTGGTAGCCCATGTAGCCGTCGCGGTTGAGGACGTACTGCACGCGGGGATCGCGGAAGGTGTCGCTGCCGTTGACGAAGTAGTTGTAGATGTTCTGGCCGGCGAAGAAGAGCTCCGATCCGGTCAGGGTCAGGTTGCGCGCCGCCAGGAAGGTCGTGCGGTTGTAGGCTCCCGTCGGGTGCAGCTGCGAGACCAGGAAGTCGTACGTCTCCGGGTACTGGCTGGCGATGCCGAGGATCGCCTCCGGGACGAGCCCCGCCGACAGCGTGCCGGTCACGGTGTTCATCACGTTGGTGATGTTGGGCGTCAGGCCGCCCAGGGCGGCGCCGGCGAGGGTCAGTTCAGGCGCGTATTGGTTCTGCAGCTCCGTGGCCCATTCGCTGGCCAGCGCGCCGCCCGAGTAGCCCCACAGCGCGGTGCGGGTGGTCGCGGGGCCCAGGGCGTGGAATTGCGTGACCCGCGGGTTGGAGGCGGAGGAGAGGATGCTGCGGATCGAGTCGAGGGTCGCGTGCCCGGATTGCACGCCCGCGGTGAACGAGGCCAGCGGCCCTTCGTAGTCCGGCACGTTGACGTACCAGCCTTGGCTCAGGGCCAGGGAGACGTCCGTCGGCGGCGAGCTGTACATGGCGTAGCTGGGGCTGGCGTCGAGGTCGTTAGAGTCGTACGCGATCTGGTAGGAGAGCAGCGCGGTGCGGTTGTCGCTGCCCGTGCTGGGGTTGGTCGGGATGAAGACCGTCGACACGGCCCACGAGGGATGGTATTGGCTGTCGGTCGTGCGGTAGACGATGTTGTACGCCGCCGAGGCGTTGCTGACCAGCGCCGTCAGGTTGCCGGGGGCCGGGCGCAGGCGCAGAATGGTGCCTGGGAGGGTGCTCTCGAAGCCATTGGGGGCGCTGTAGAAGGGATCCTCGGTGGGAGGGAGCACTACGGACGGGCTGGTGGTAGGCAACCCGTAGACAAGAGGGAGAATACTCCCGAGGAGAGGGAGGAGCCGGGCCGGAGAGAGCATGGCGAGGAGGGGATGAGGGAGATGGGGGGGGAGGGAAGGGGGAAAAGGTGGGAGAAGAGGGCAAAGTACGGTGGCTTGGGGGGGGGGGGAAAGCTGTGTTTATGTGCTGGGCGCTGACCGACAATCCCCGCAAGGTACGGAGACACTAGACGGAAGGATCCAGTTCCTTGTAGGAGTGCAGTTCACAGCGCAGCAAAGCCGAATGACATCAAACCTCGTGTCGGGCTTCGGGCAGCCAGTCAAAGTGGGGAATTTCCCTCGGATGGCCCGGATCCCTCATTAATCATTACTAGGTAATCATTTATTCCCGCAACCCTCAGGCACTTTCGGTCATTTTCAGCTGCGCAACGAGATTGGTCGGTTCAACCATGCTGAACTCAGCCGCAGCTTGTTGCTTATTATTGCTTGGCGTGGTGTAAGCTGGAGAGCTACTCTGTAGAGAGCTGGAGACTGGAGAGCTGCGCCTGTTGGCGAGGGAAAAAGATAGCGAGCGATCAGGGCTCCGGTCTTCCCGTGACTCCACTCCAGGCAGAGACTCTCTCGCCCTGCCTTGGAACTGCCATCCCTGGTTAGAGAATTATGTCATTTCACATCTGGATGCACAATCCATTCTAATATGTCTCATTGCTCGACAGGAGAATGTTTTTCCGTACTCCGTATAGGAATTTTGCATCCTTTGGTAGAGATGGAAGATGTTCAGAACAATTGATTGTTGCGCCCCGGCGGATAAGAAGAAAGGCGAACCCTCCACGGCGCCAAGTGGATCCCCCCAACCAGCGGTGACCTTCTAGAAGCACTACACAGCCCGGAAAAGTCGGATTAACCCGCGCCCAATTACAAGTCTCCTCATTGCAATGGGTTTGTGGTGCGATAGGGAAATGTATCTTGCGACCACCGATAGCAATGGGTCATAGCCTCCGCTGCCTCGGCTGCCATAACCTGGTTTCCTGCGAGGGACGGCACACACACCACAACACCACAACGTAAGCGTCGGACTTTCTTCACTCAATTATACTTTGGATTGTTGTCCGGCAAATTCACTAAGTCCAATCGGTCAGCTTCTCCGGAACAGGCACAGAGAATATCCCTGGTCTTGTCAGCTAGTCAGCAGGGTGATCCCACCTGCATATGGTGTGATAGCGCTAGCCTCCTCCGCACAGCTTCCCCCGCATGCCGCTGCGGTTTTGGTCGAGGATTTTCGGGGCTATCCCTGCTGATCTGACATGTGAATGAACTCAGTTATCGATAGTTTTAATCCGGTCAGTAGTGCGCAAATAATGATGGATGATTCTGCACGTATATCTGACACCGTGTGCGGTTTTCCATCCATGCAGCATTTTTGTCTGGCCGATTACGTGGTGGGTCGCATGGGTAGGGCCGGCTGCAGAGATTCCGGAGACCGGGGCAATATCTCTCGGTATTATTGATCGTCCACCTCCACTCAGTGCTGGTTCTGGTCCAATCAGTGCCCAATTGATTCGTTATCCGCAGATAAAGACGTTTGGTGGGGTGCAGTAATGAGATAACTATGATGTTTCGCCATAGCAAGCAAGCATCGATTAGAGGCACAAGCCAGTAAGCATATTCAAAATTAACGAATCGTCCAATTCGCTGAGATCAGGCAGTGTCTGCTACTCATGGGCTGTGGTCTTCGTTTTTATGCTGAATATATTATGATCCCACATCTCAGACGAAGAAACGTGTTGAAGAAGTGAACCACCGGCTGCCACTGGGATCCTCATGAGACAGAGTTGAAGACTCTTCATCAGCATTCCAGATGCATAGGAAACACATACAAACAACCCCAGAAGCATCACCACTAGATATGACGACTGGCGGAAAGACCGCGAGACATCGAATATTAGCAGGGACCGATGGAGTCCCAATTAATAGCGATCAACGTACCTTACCTGTAGGGAAATCGCGTGCTTTCATTGAGTCTACATGTACACGTAGTGTATCAACTTCTAAAAACAACCACGAGAGCATCTGTATGGAACTTAAACAAATCCACCAAACAAACTCCGCTCCGCAAAAGAAGCATGCACCAACCCCCAAATATACTAGATCTCCAACGGCACGCGGTACTTCTCCCACATCTCCTCCGTATCCGCCTCCCTCCACTTCCCAATCCCCCCCGACACCCCGTCCTCATCCACGTCCCAGTCCCCCTCCCGCACCCGCTCCGCCCAATTCCGCAGCACCTGGTGAATGGAAACATGGCGGTGGGGAGCACATCCATTCTCGACGCACTGATACAGTTCCGAGTTGGTCTTGCCTGGCCTCGGGCCGAGATCGTCCGCGTAATCCCTCCCCATGATCGTGCCGTCGCTGCGGCGCACCCAGCCCTGCTCCCCAATGCTGAAAGGCAGGAGCAGATGGCACCCCGACTCCCAGGAGCGGTTGTCGCGGTCATCACCGCTTAAATAAAGCCCCGCCGGTCGCGCGGGGACCGGGAGACTGACTCGCCTCCGTGAGGTCAGAAAGTCATTGAGATCGATGCCGGGGTCGGGGACGACCATTGGTGGGGATGATAATGATGATGGATCTTCGGGGTCCGCGACAAGCAACAGCGTGGGACGAATCGGTCTGAGACGGGGCAGTTCACGCAGGTACCAGGGTACATACTCATAGTCTCGGAATGGCTGAGCGCGGAACTCTGCGATCGTGGGCAGGCGGATCCCCGGGGCCAAGTACCGGAAGGCTCGATGGGTGGCGGTCGTGCAGGTGGTCGCGGTGGCGTCGCAGAACGCCCCGGCGAAGCTGTTCGGGAGGATGCGGGCCTCCTCGCGGACGCTCGGGTCTGCCCAGGGGAGCATTGTCAGAGTACTACTACCACTCGTGCCAGCAGTGGCAGTGACATCAGCAGTGCTGGTGGCTGACGGCGGCAAGCGAGCCTCGATCGCATCCAGGAGTTCTTGCAGGGCCGCGACAGCCAGCTGGATATCCGTTGGAGTGTACGTATGGAACCGCCATGGTCCTATTGTCTCGATAGGGGAGTGGCAGAGTTGGTTGGTGTCGGTCTCCCACTCCCATCGACCGCTGGGCCATTGCTGGACTTCCACTTTGCGGGACGTGATCATCGCCAGATATGCACCGTAGATATCCTCCAGCGGCTTCCAGCCGTAACCCGTGTTGATTCGGTCGAGGTTATCTTCACAATGGGCCACAAACGTGGCTTTGCATGCGACCTGATCAAAGCTATCAGAAGCATTAGCAAGTATAGTCCGATTGGAGTCTGAAAGAGCCGAACTGTACAGAATCCCATATTCATCGCCGCACATCCAACCCGTCGAGTGATGCAAATATAGAAAGCAGTCATGTGCATCCGCTAGACCATTGACATGCTCGTCCACGAGGTACTCCCCCGATGACAGATTACCAACGTAATAGAAGAACGGCGGGGAGTCGGGGCGATAGTAGACACGTTTCAGGAATTCGATCATCCATGGGTGGTAGCGCGAGGCTTCTGCATCTGTAGGTTGGAAATGCTGCCACCAGGTGGGCAATTGGCCCCAGCTTCGTCCGCTTCCCTTCCATCCAATCTCGAAGATTTGATTGTAGAGGTCTGCACAGAGTTCGAAGTTGAATCTTGCGATGGAAACGTGTGTCATAAATCGTTGAGTCATTTTGCTTGCTGTCAAGAAGTCGAATAGGGAAAAGGGGGAGAGGGGAAATAAATAGCCTCAAAGCTTGGGACGCTGAAAGCAGACCAATCGATCCGGGAATCGTGTAATACATACAGTACAGGACAGAAGAATACATTACAGTAAATTGCCTCAGGCATACAGTGTGTGTATAGCTGTTTATTGTTCATCCCACTTTCCATGAGCGAGTTTGGTTCTCGTTTGCATCAACCTAAATATACATCTAGAAGGTTGACTCATTTCTGAACTGTGACTCACTATCATACTAGACGCGGTCTAATTGCGATAACATCATCCGTGAAGAAGACTCGAGTGTTTAGTCACCACACCACGTAATAGCCACTTTCCAAGAGCATAAGATACATCATCACCCCTACAAAAGCTCAAAAGGCTTTGTGACCGAGATCAGGCGACTGCTCAGACCAACCTTGGCCTCGAAAGTCCCAGCCGGAATCTCCCAATCCTGCGTCACGACATTCCAAAAACTCACATCTTTGCGAGTAAGCTCAAATGCCACGGTTTGACTTCCTCCCGCCTTGAGATGGATCTTCTCGAACCCTCGAAGCACCTTCACGGGGGTTCCAGCCGGGGTTGTGTCCTGCGGGAAAGCCAGGTATAACTGAGGCACCGTCGCGCCCGCCAAACTGCCTGTGTTGGTCAGCTTGACTTTCACAGTGACGAGAACCTCATAGAGCTCGGGATTCCCGCCCGGCTGAATTGGCTTGCTCGGATCTGGGCGAGGGGAAACATCCCCCTTTCCGCTGACGGTCTTGAGAGAAAGCCCCCCGATGGAGAAGTTGGTGTACGAGAGACCATATCCGAACTCGTATCTGGGCGTGATGCCTGCGTGATCGAAATGACGATAGTCGAAGAATTGCCCCTCCGTGAAGTTCACCTGGCGTCCATTCGGGTTGGTGATGTCCATGGCGGTGAAGTTCACGATCGCAGTGTTGTAGTCGCTGGCGTTGTAGGCGACCGTGAAAGGGAGCTTGCCACTGGGATTGACTTGACCTGTAATGACATCCAGGATCGCATTGCCGGACTCCTGGCCTGGCATGTAGGCCATCATCTATTGTTGCAAGAAGTCCTTCGGTCAGTAACTCACTATCCTTGGTTGTTATATGGACAAAAGGTGTAGCTCACAATAGCCGTGACGTTGGGATGATCCGCCCAGTCAAGAAGATTCACATTGCCAGAATGGGTGACCACGATGGTGTTGTTACAGACCGAGGCGACAGCGTTCACCACCGCACTGCCATTGTTGTTGAGATCGAAGTCGCTGTGGTCCGGGCCTTCGGAGACGTAGTAGCGGAGGAAGACGAAGCATACTTCGGGGATGGGATAGATCGCCGCCCCGAAGCCCACGCTGTTGGGCTTGAGCAACCCAGGAATAAGCTCATTGTCGGTTATATACTGGACCAAAGAGTCGGATCTCCCTTTAGCCCAGGTCTTGATTGCTTCCAAGGGGGAAACGAGGTAGGTGAGTCGTCCGGAACCGCTTCCACCCCCAGTAGCAAAGGTACCGATGAGTTCGGAGTCTGGGGATGAGGCCAAGCCGGCTGACTTGTCTGCTGCATCGTTACCGAACACCGCGATGAAGCGGGGAATCTCCGTAATTGGCAGAGCACCGTTCTGGTTCTTGAGCAGGGTTACGGACTCAGCAGCAAGCTTGCGAATGAAGGCTCCGTGGTTCCCGCGCACGTCCCGGTGCGCTTCGCCGCCCACTGGCCAGCTATAGTTGGCCATGCTGGCAGAGAAGTCCCCGAGTTCCTTTGAGCTGGGGTCGATGAGCGGCCAGTCGGCACGATCCTGGTTGAGATAGAAGTACGGGGTCATCACGCGGAGCACGATGTCGTCCACACGCGACGTCGATAGGGTTCCATTGTTCACAGCCTGGATGAGGTTGCTACCGAAGAGGGAGTTGTCCCAAGACGTCCCCCCGAAGCCGACAGCGCCACCCGGCATGTCCATATCGAGTCCATTCTCAATGGCATGAACTCCGGACATCGTACCACCCCAGTCGCTCATCACATAACCTCGGAAGCCAAGCTCCTCTTTCAAAATGGCGTTGAGGGTTTGGTTATTCTCGCACGAGTAAGAACCATTGACCTTCGAATATGCGCACATGACGGACGAAACACCAGCCCGGACTGCACTTGCGAAAGGCCACGAGTAGATCTCATGCATGGTGCGATCGTCGATGTTCGACGAGTAGCCCTGAATCGTCACCCCGTCCGTGTTTGGGGTAGGGTTCGCCCCCGTGGCCTGTTCATACCCGATGTAATGCTTCACGCAAGACTGCATTCCGGTAGACTGAGTTCCCACGATGCTTTGGTGTCCGAGCTCACCACTGAGATACGGATCAGGCCCGAAACCTTCCCAGTTGCGACCGCCTAGGGGGTCTCTTCCGAGAGGTCCTACGACCGGCCTATCTTCGATGTTAGTTGCTTGCAGCTCGACCTTAAATCTTGAAACACATTACCCAAGCATCACATTGGCCCCCTTGGTTTTAAACTCTTCGCCAAGAAGGACGCCGCGTTGGTGGGCCAGCTCTTTATCCCAGCTCGCCCCAACCGAGACTCCCGCTGGGTACACACTGGCAAAGTCCTGGGGGAAAGAATTAGCCTCTTTGGAGATAGCTGACAGCAGGAATGGAGGAATTGAAGATTAATGGGACGGACGTAAAGCTACTTACAGCTGGTCGAATTGCTAAAGGGCCATCTGCCAGCCAGTTAGTCAATAAACCCTCGGGTGTTGGATAGAAGACCTGCCTTGGATGCATAAGCCACGGAAGCCCAAACGTTCGATTGGGGCGATGGAGCCTGTACATGGTCTGACCCGTCAGCTCGTGTGTTCACTTCTTTGCGAGCGAACAAGGCTCTATCCTACCCTGCAACCCCTGTCGCGATGTAGGCTTTCTCCTCAAGGGTGAGCTGCGCCAGGAAGTCTTCAGTCTTGGTGACAGCTTCTGACCAATCTCGTGGCGCGTTACTGGCTGTTCCGAGGCACGTCAGTCAGCATTACAAGACAATGCTTAGTGATTCTTCTTAAGGAAACATACCAGCTTTACCTCCAGTAATCGCCCTGCACTCACCCCAGCTAATCAGGCTTGAGAGCAACAGAAGAAGCTTCCGAGACACCATGGCTGTGATTCTGCGTCGGACTGGCTCCAACTGATCTTGAATAACAGTACAAGTGCTGAGAGGCAAAAGCTCGATATTTATACACCAACAGGCAGGGCACGCTGAGAGGGATGGCCGAGTCGTCCGATCAGCTTCATACTGCTCCCCACACTGTACCCTAGTCACGGTTAACGCCAAGACCATGCATGCGAAAGGAATGGACTGATGATTTGCCAGTATCAGGATCTTGTTGTGATATACTGCTTGCTAAGAGCCCGAGGGAAGGGCTTGGCAATTCGTATTGCCAGAATTCCCAAATCGAGTTAGCCATCTCCCCATCTGCCGGTTGACTATACCGAGAGTACTAACTACAATGGGTAGGAAAAACAAAGCGCTGGAGGCTGGAGCCCTAATACCAAGCGTAATGCGGGGACTTGCGGGGACTTGCGGGGTACGTTTAGCGAGATTGCAGGCTACACTGCCAACTCCAGAATTTCGGCCTCGGATTCGTGTGTAGAAGTAGGATCAGGATCAATGTGTGCCAATTTCGCATGATATCCTGGTCTAGTGCCAGACTCGATGTTCCCGGCCACCACACAGCATCGGTTTCGCCTGGATGGCACGCCGATTCTATCCAAGCGCGAGAAACTGATCCGGAGAATTGAGACGGGGGGGCAGAGGAAATCGCACTTCAAGTCCCGCAATGGATGCAATGCCTGTAAGGGGAAACGGGTGAAATGTGATGAGACCAGACCGAGCTGCCGCAAATGCATCGCGCGGGGGGTGGCGTGCCTGTACTCAAACATATGCAGCTCACCTCGCAGTATTCACGGCGATGCCCTAACGCTGGCGGGGGTCAACCAAGTCGCCAGTGCTCCCCTCCCCGCGGAGTATCTTCTTCACCATTTCTGGACTCATACCAGTGGCTGCTTGATCGGAGCACAGCGACAACGCATCTACCGGACCCACATGCTTCCCTTGTCGCTCTCTCAACCTTCGCTGCTTCACGCGATTGTGGCGGTGTCGGCGCGAGACCTCCTTCATCTTCAACCGGACAGGCACCGGTTGCTGCCTATCTTCTATCATCATTACCAACAGTTCGCCACCCTCTACAACCAGGATCTGATGCAGCCCCGGTCAGTCCTGACCGCCAACCTGATGCACTCCACCGCCTTCCTGATGAATGTCCTGGTCGTCGCGGATCCGGCCTCAACGCAATCAACCTCATGGGTCACGCGAACCGGGCAAGAGGACATCGACCAAGCCTTCTCCTGGATCAAGGTGCAGGCGATCCACCAATCGATCCTGCACCCATACAACTCCTGCCTCCCGCAGACCTTCTGGTACACGGAATTCACACAGGACCGCCACACTGTGCAGGCCCCACAGGCATCCCAATTCCAACAGGAACCGCACCTCACCACCCACCTGGCGGAACTATGCAACATCCAACCCGCCGACACCACCGCCACCAACGTGTATCTCTCCGCCTACAACATCCTGCGTACTATCGGTGAAACACCCGCCGTGAGCAAGCATCTTGCCCCACAGCTGTTTGGCGTCTATATCCGGTTCTTCGTCGAGATGGAATCACCCTTCGTGCAGCTCCTCCACCGGAAGGATGAAGTGGCTCTGCTGCTCCTCGCCGTCTGGCTGACTCAAATGCGGAAATTGGATCTCTGGTGGATGCGCGACCGGGCGCGGAACGAATGCCGCTCGATTTGCGGGATGCTGTTGCGCAGTGAGGATTGGCGCATTCGCGCGCTGGCGGAGTGTCTGGCAGAACAATCATTAAGTTTGTGATTACTCGAATGAGTTGATAATTACGAAGCTTGGTGAAATACGAGTACCTACTCTGTAATAGAATCTGTAATAACCATCCTGGGTTACATCGGGTATCGGCCCGGGCCCGACAAGATGGACCTCTTGCGCACTCACGGGACTACGTACTGCGATGACCCTGAAAATAGGGGTTTGAGGACCAATCCGTGGTGAGGCTACACGCTTTGAGCAAAGTCCGGATACAAACGAGTGGACTAAGCCTGAGAAGTTAAAGATCGGTCTTCTCAGTCGAGCTTAACGAGGCCTCGGCCACAGTAGTCGTCGAACATCGCGCTGCCAAGATCACGCTAGCTGGTGGGTCGTATAACGCCGTTGTTACAGCTCTGTAAACCATGGTGTGCCTCAAAACTGGTCGTTGTATCCTTCACGCTTCGCCGTGGACGATGGAATTGAGTTTTGAGTCACCGGTTTCGATGCATAAAAACAAGCAAGTGTCCTTCAGTCCAAATCATGTTGACCTTGTCCAGTCATGTCTCGCAATCACGGAGAGGAAGTTCCTCTAGGACCATTCAACTATGAATTGTGCGCAGAACTCCATAATCGCATTTTCCTGATCGCCTGGACTGGAGCAGGAAAACCCCTGGAGAACAGCTCCATTTCAACCTGGTGGGGGCATTTTCAACCCTCTGAAGAACTCGCCGCGCGGTACCATCCCCATTTGGTCCGGTTTTTCCAGCGCGTATACTACCACCCCGAGGCTCCGGAGTTCTGCTACTATCTCGAAAACCTGAACACTCCTCATTCCTTGATTGATGAACGCTTCAACGACATATTCGACGGCAGGGATTGCTATCTCGACCTACATCGCGCCACGAGCTGGTACGACCCCAATGGCGATGAATGGGGGATCATGTAGGTTGCCGCAACTCACCACCTCTGTATCGGGATCGTGCCCTGAGCAAGGTGCGTAGATTCGACCAAATCACCTGCAAAGCTGTCTTCGCCGAGAGCCGCGAAGCTACCCACCCGATCCTCAACTATGGTCACGGCTTCCGGCCGCTCGAAGACATCTATGCGGACTACCTCCAGATGATCACGGAGAACAAGATCGAGGCCCAGGTGGATGGGCAGTGGCCTACTGGGGATATCGGGACTGACACGCTGTGTGACTCTACCTTTGATACGATCGGTCCGTGGCGGATCCATACGTATACCGCCGCCGACGTCGACAAGGCCGTGCAAGCCTTCCAGGACCTTATCCATGAGATCGAGATGCGATTACCCAGCAGCAGCAGCAGCAGCAGCAGCAGCAGCAGGGATTCCGCACGGCTAACCCTCCCCTGGTCCGACCCCGCCGTGCGCTCAGAAGCCCACCTCGTCCCCAACAGCTTCATCAACCGCTTCTGCACCGCAACCAGTGCAGCCACCCCCCGCCCGGTTCGCTTCCGCTACCTCGCCCCGGGAATCCGCCTCCCGACCGAGGCCGAATTCCGCGCCCAACCGCAGCGAAATCTCGAATATCAATCTGCCATGCGCCGTGCACTCCCCGTAGCGCGGCCGATCAAGCCCACCCTCCTCTTCCTCGCCGATGATCCCGCCGCCAACGCGCCGGGGCAGACGGTCACGACCGTCCCCAACCCCGATCTCTGCCTCAACTCCCTCCTCGCCGACTTCGGCGACGACAAGCACCGACGAACCGCGGCCCCGCGCCCCGCCGGCCTGTATCTGACGGCCGACGACCGCAGGGTCAAAAGCGGCGAGAACGGCTGCCGCCTGCTGCTGCCGTTCGGGATCGGGCGCCACGGCTGGGCCCGCCTCAGCGACGGCACGTGCATGGGCGGCAATCCGTGGTTGGATCAGGACCCGGCGGATGCCAATTATGATCTGTATCAATGCGAGTTCAACGGGCTCATCCCCTTGCGTGACGTGCCGCTGCACCGGGTGCTGGAGAGCTGGGCGCAGCGGGTGCGGGCGGGGGATTGGACTGTGGGGGAGGATGGGGTGGCCGACGGGGTGGAGCGGTGGCGGGAGGCCGACACGGAGGCTGGCTGGCGGAAGTATTGGGTTCCGGTGCGGTGGTGATAAGGCTGGTACTGTGGTTGTAGAGGATAATATGTGGTGTTTGTCTGTGATTATCGTGGGAAGTCCTGGAGGAATAGGGCATGTCGCACGCGCAACGTTCTCATCGCAGATTACCTCCTCGTCTTCATTGCCACTCTCTGTCTTTGCACCCGGGAAGGTCATGCCAGTGTTGTAGCTGAGGTAGATCCTCGACGAGAATCATACTCGGTAAAGGTATATCGGTCTGCTGGGTTAGTCTCCCTGGGTTGGAGACTCGGTAGGAACGACAGTAGTTCAGTTATGCGTTCGTGACATCCACAATGGGAAAGTCACGGGTGAAAGTTGTGGCGAGCAATAGCACGGACAATTTGGTATATCTCTGGTTTGTACGCCACATATCTTAGCTCGTAGACAGGTTAGCTCCAGTTGTCGACTCTCTCTTGCTGGGGATGGCGTAGGTGGTCCGTGCACGGACGCCCGGTCGCATCACCCACGGCTTACCCTCTGTTGACCGCAGCTCAATTCACAGTCAGTTTACAAGTAGCATGGATGATCCACCGAGAATTTTCTCGGGATCTACGGAGTACTGAGTATGTTGCAAGTCCTTGTCTTGAAGAAGATGAATTGACAATAATTCCCAAGCTGGATGTTTAAGTAGGAAACTTCCAGCTCTCTTTTTATTATTTCTTTCCTATTTTCACGGGATCATCATGATGAAGTCAACCACGGCGCGGATCGCACACCTTTCCACACTGGACAACTGGACAAGGAAGAAACCGCCTGCAGAAACCCACCTCCAAGAAACGACTACATCATGTCGGGAGAGTTAGGGAAAAAGTCCGAGCCAGAAGTCACCAAGAGCGTTGTGCACTGCACTTCCCACCAGTCGACAACGGGAAAACCCGGTGGACCCGTTCTCAGCAGCAATTTGCCACCCCCACAGGCCACCACAGCTCCAGCTCTTTGTCCGATCAGACCACCTTCTTGTAGCCCTTATAAGGTAAGAAAGTACCGTGACCACCGGCAACAAATCGCCAAAGTAGCATGATTTCGGCCGAGCGACGGTTAACACTGGCCGGATTCCCAAGCCCGTGAAATCTGGGCGCTGACCTCATTCGCATCCCATTCCACGGTCCGGTGGCTGTCACTCTGCCCGCCCTATAATATACCCGTTATCCAACATTGAGTATGTGAACCCTTCCCAATCCATGTCACCACACACACCACACACACCCATAATGCCATTTTTACCACTCTCGCAAGTCCGTCGTCTACGGGACGAGCTCCAGGGCACCAACGCGGAAATTTCCACGTGGGGATGCGAGGGCTACGGCGATAACATCAAGCAGTGGAGCGATTCGTGCGATGAGGATGTCGTGAGTTTCTGCCCCTCCCCAACGAATAAAGGAATGGTCAAGACTGATGAGACCAGGGCGCAGTGGTCCGAGTGACCTGCGCCGACGAAGCGGCGATCGTGGTGCGATTCGTGACCCGCCACCAGATCCCGCTGGCCGTGCGGGGCGGGGGCTACTCGACGAGCGGCAGCTCGACGGCGCGCGGGGGCATCGTCCTGGACCTGGCCCGGCTGCGGCGCGTGCGCATCGACCCGGAGGCGCGCGTGGTGGCCGCCGAGGGCGGGGCGCTGTGGGCGGACATCGACGTGGCGGCGGCGCAGCACGGGCTGGCGGTGGTGGGCAGCACGCTGAGCCACATCGGCGCGGCGGGGGCCACCCTCGGCGGCGGCTACGGCTGGCTGACCGGCCAGTACGGGCTGGCCATTGACAACCTGCTGTGGGCCAAGGTGGTCCTCGCCGATGGCAGCATCGTCATCGCCTCCGAGACGTCCCGCCCCGACCTCTTCTGGGCGGTCCGCGGCGCCGGCCAGGAGTTCGGCGTCGCCGTCGAGCTCGGGTTCCGCGCGCATCCCCAGCGCAACGCCGTCTTCGCGGGCACGCTGCTCTTCGCGCCGGAGAAACTCGCGGTCATTGTCGATTTCGCCAATCGGTTCGAGAGGCAGACGGACGGCAAGCAGGGTCTGTGGTTCGGGTTCACGGTGGCGCCGGCGATGACGCAGTGCTGTATTCTGGTCGTGGTGTTCTACAATGGGGACCAGGCACGGGCGGAGCAGTTCTTCGCGCCGCTGCTAAAGGCGGACCCGCTCGCCAACACCGCGGGGATGATCCCCTACGACAGTCTGAATGGGATTCTCAACACGACGGACACGCTGCACCGCCGCGGGAGCGACACCGAGGTCAACATCAGCTACCCGCTGGACGTGGCCATGGGCCCCCGGAAGAGCATGCGCGGGAGCAACGTCACCCTCCCGCTGGACCTGGGGTTCGTGCAGTCGGTGTACGACGAGTTCAACGGGGTGCTCACGGAATGCCCGCAGACCCGGGATAGCAGGCTGCTGTTTGAGCTGCTGCCGAATGCGCAGATCATGCAGGTCCCCGACGAGGCGACGGCGTTCGCGAACCGCGGGCCGTACTACAATGTCAGTTGTCTGTTTCGGTGGTACGATGCCGATCTGGATGCGCAAATCCGGTTGGCGCAGGCCAGTCTGTTAGGCCGCATTGCGACGTCGGCGGGGATCAAGCGGCCGGGGTATCAGGGCCCGAGACGGGGCACGGGCATCTATGCCAACTATGCTGGTAGGACGGTCTTGTCGCGGATGGGAGGAAAGACAGCTAACAGAGGACAGGCCACGATGTGGGCAGCGAGGAGATATTCGGAGACAACTTCCCCCGCCTGCAGGAGCTCAAGAAGAAGTACGACCCGCACAATACGTTCAACAAGTGGCACCGCATTAGGGTTCCGGAGAACGGTCGGCAATAGGCTTCAATCTCATGCAAAAGCCTGCCCAGTGCTACAGAAAAAGGCATTGAGTGGACTTCAGCAAAAGACCATTCGTATGTGACGTGAACTTGGACATCGGCGCAAAACTCAGCAACGGTTCATTGGTCGGACATGTATTCTATACCCGTTATGATCTGCACACGGTGCAAGATCACCTATCCCGGTCGAATTAATATAAGCCTAATGATTGAATTGATGGATGATACATGATTAGTTGATTGGACATTCCTCTCAGATAGAGTCAACCGATAGCGTAGACCAAACAGCCCCCGATGCCGGAGAAGAGAGAGCGATTAGCCAGAATACACGAGAATTCCCTCGTATCCCCCTTGCCAAGCGATATCCTGCAAAGCTCGGAGCCGACGGCCGGGGAAAATGCGGAGTCTCGTCGATGGGTGTCGATGGGTCTGGAACGACCGGGTTAAACCTTGCGGTGCTCGTAATGCCCTGTGGTTGCGGTTCATTGTTCGGTCGCGAGTGTATAAGGTTCGGTCAGAGCGTCTGGCTTGACGGGAAACTCGCCACCGCCGAACCAAATTTCGTCCGAGGAAGCTGTTGCTCTGCTCGGTGGATTCCTCCGAGCTCCTGACAGCTTGCTTTGAGCTCTGTAGCAGCATTGCCGCAGCGATCGAAACGCAAGCTTAGCGTACTTTGACCTATGCAAGATGACCCGTCTTTCGTGCCGACGCGCGATCGAGCTGAAAGCGACGCTGCAGGACACCCGGGCGGAGGTGCACACCCCAAGTGATGGGGACTACGCGGAGCGCGTTCGCGGTCTCGAGCTGGGTGAGGTCGACCCGGTATGTCTGTATGCATTTAAGCTGGTTTCATGATTGACGGAGGCAGGGCGCCATCGTGCAAGTCAAGACCACCGACGAGGTTTCGCGCGTTCTCAGCTACGCGAGTAAACACCACATCCCGATTATCGTCCACGGTGGCGTCTTTGCAACAGGTAGTTCATCGGGGGAGGAGGGGGGGATTCTCATCAGTCTGGCGCGCATGAGCAAAGTGGTGGTTGATCCGGCATCACGCACACTGGCCGCTCAAGGAGGCGCGAGATGGGAGGATCTCGTCGGCGTTGCGGGCGCATCGGGCCTCACGGTCGTTCCGGTCACCGGGGATGATACTCCAGTCGACGCAGGAACTGGAGCAGGAAGTGGCTGGTTGGCGGGTTGCCCTGGCCCGATTATCGACAATCTAGTGAGTGTCAAGATAGTCCTGGCGGATGGGAGCATTGCCACAACGTCGAGCACGGAGAAGCCCGATCTCTTTTGGGCGCTGTATCATGCCGGAGGGGTGTTCGGTCTTGCCACTGAGCTGGTCTTTAGGGTGTATCCTCAGGGGAGGCAGGAAGGGCCTACGAAAAGCAGTGAGGCAGATGGTGGTATGTTCCACCATTTTAGAGTCCCCCATCGCAGGACTTAAATCTACTGTACGATGCTGATCTGTTCAGGGCCGAAAGACAGTGTAGTAGACTCTGGCGAGGACGATCTACCACGCTTGCAGAAACTGAAAAGGCAATATGACCCGTATGGGCTGTTTGGCAGCCTGGACAGTGCCTCCTTAGACACGCGAAAATAGCTCCTCGGTCGGATTTGGTTATGTCTGACGTTGCTATGCTGACAATGGGCCATGTTGATGTACGAGTCAGCACAGCTATCACTGACTCTGTTACTTGTAATTCAATACTTCTGCTGGTATATACATCCACCACTATTTACACAATTTCTTTCCTCCCGGGCCTCGCCATGATATCCAGACACAGCGGGCATGTGTTCCTGCCACTCATAACCCAGCCATCCAGACAGCGATCGTGGAAGACATGTCTGCATGGGAGCAGGTAGATCAGTTGCATCTTGGTGACGACTTCCAGACAGATGGGGCTACACACGACGTCAGTGGCTTGCTATTGCAGACGCGACAACCCTCGACATCCGCGACCCGCACTCACCAGACAGCAGGGCTGTTATACCCCATCAGCTTGCTCCGCTCCGTCTGGATGGAAGCCCACCAGTCTCCGTAGAGATCCTTCACCACGCTCTGCTGAAAGTAGAGCAGTCGCCGTTCCTCCGAGTTGCGACTCGTGTACGGGAGGATGGGCTCGAAAGCAGTGTTTGGGGGTGTAAAGTCTGCCTCGTAGCGGCGTTTGACGATGACCCTGGTCGCGATCAGCATTAGAGTGAAGACTCAGCTAACGAGCCACGACTTACAGCATGAACACTGTTATCGACAGGACGATGATGTACAGAACACAAAGATAGAGTGGGAGTTCGTCCTGCTTCGGCGGGAGGGTTCCATACTCGGCGTGGACCCAGGCTGGAGCCCTCAAAGGCGGCGGGCTAGGGCTGGTGGCTGGTCGTTGTACGAAGGGCGGTGACATGGTTCGTGAGCAGACATTCGACGACCTTTTGCACGAGAAGGTATTCGTGCAGCACAGCCGTTCATCTTGATCGTAAAACTGGAGCCTGCAACAGAAGTCGCGTACGATTCATTGTCTAGTTTACGAGCCAACAATGAATAATATAGCGAGTGATCTGGGGCTGGGGACTTGATATTCGGAAAGCAACCCGACCCCGGGAACTGCTCATCATTCTCATGTGATATACGGGGAGGGTGATCATGCTGAGGCTCCAGCCTTTTACTGGAAATGGACTGTAGCCATGGATGCAATACGCGGGGTTTTATGGTTTGGGTTCGCCGCATCCATACATTGGCCCGTCACGCGACCCCCCACTACCAAGCCCTCGCGGCCGTCGATCCCCTCCCCCATTCACTGCTTCTCACACTCCACACTCGGAACCATGTCTTCCTGTGAGACTTGGGACTCGGTCTTTTCACCCTTCTCAACACGATGTCAGTAGAGCTGGATTGGAGACGAGGGGAATGCGAAGGCCCAGGCAGTTCTAGCCGATGTCTGGGCTGTGCCCGCGACGGCCCACGCCTTATTCGGCTGAACCAGGGCACCAGATCTGCCTTCACGAATAGGTGAGCTGACAGGGCTGAGTCACTGAGGAATCACGAGCCCCCCCGCAAGAGATGTATAAATCAGGCCCTGCCAATCCCCAACCTCGATTGGCAGGCAGGAGATCATTTCCCAACGCTCACATGTTATGCACACACCATCATGACCACTCGAAATCGTCGACCACATACAGTGTGGTTGATAGGTGGTGGGGTCGAGTCCTTGGTTGCTGCCTCTTGTCTGATAAATGAGGCCAAGATCCCCGGCAATCGAATCCGTATCCTCGACTCAAGGGGTCAGCCACAGCCTACTGGCACTATCCGAAATAACAAGTCGACACGCAAGCGGTTGATCACGTCTAGTACGAGTCACTGCCAGGAGCTGCCATGCGCATCAGCCCAAGGACCGCATCAGCCTCAACCCCTCGACGTACCCACCTTCCACCATGACGAATCCCCTGCGACATGCACCCGAGACCGCACCGAGGCCTTCATGGCAGAGCCGATCCATTTCCTCGGTCATCTCGGCCGCAAACAGGTCTGGCGCAAGAACCGCAAGGACATCCTCCGCTTCCTCCTGCAGGACGAGGAAGCATACGAAGGGCTGAGCATTCAGCTGGTGTTCGATGAGTCCTTCTTCGACACCTACTTCTGGAGGCTATTCTCATCAAGGTAAATCCCGCCTTTCCCTGACGCATCCTGTCTCCGGCTGGAGAACCCGATGCTAAAGGGGGTGATGTCGGGCTTCAGTTTCGGCCTACGCCCATCGCACTCCGCCGTCGAGTTCCATCGCTACATCAGCAAATACCTGGACGAGGTCATCGGCAACAGCATCCAGATCGCTGACCCACTGCAACTCTCCCTGCGGAAGACCGTCCTCCAGCCGCTGCGAGCCTACCTTCGCAACCAAGGGGTCGAGTTTCACAACCTCCACGTCACCGACATCCACTTCCACCCGGACCACTATCCTCAAACCGCCAGCGGGATCCAAGCGATTGACCCCTGCGGACATCCTATGGTCTTGCCTGTACGCGCAGAGGACATCCTCATCGTGACCCTCGGCTCCGCTGCATCAGGCATCGCGACCGGCACCCGCGCCAGCCCTCCGCCCGCCCTCTCCACCAGCACGCAAAGCCTCCTCGACGACCCCAGCTGGGCGCTGTGGGTTGCCCTCGCCAAGAAATCCTCGCAGTGCGGCAACCCGGCCTCTTTCTGCACCCATCTCCCGGAATCCCGCCTGGGGATGTTCGTCATCCACCTGCCGCAAGCCGAGTTCAACGCCCTCCACCACCGCGTCCTGGGCACCCATCCCGCCGTCGATGCCACCATCGCAGAGAGCAACTGGTCATTGAAGCTCGTCTTTCCCCAGCAGGCGCAGCAAGAGCACGATGGATCCCTCCGCTCCATTTTAGGCTATGGCTTCACGCCGGACGCACCGGGCCACCACATCCACAAACCCATGCCCGCATGCAGCGGCGACGAGATCCTCGCCGAGCTCCTCAGCAGCCTCAACATCCCGCCCGCGCAGATCATCCCCAAGGCCAGGACGGTGCCTTACGTCCTCCCGCTGGGATTGTCGCCGCTCCTCAAACGCGACCCCGGCGATCGGCCGGATATCACCCCCTCGGATCTGGGCAATCTGGCGCTAGTGGGCCAGTACGTGGAGATCCCCGAGGAGACGGCGCTGATGACCGAGTACAGTGTGCGGTCGGCGCAGCTGGCGGTGCAGCGGCTGATGGGGGGCTCGTCGAGGGTGAATGTGTCCGAGGTGCATAAGTCGTTTCTGGCGGCGAGGTATGGGCGGAAGGGCGGGGTGGTGTCTTGTCGGTAGTTCGGCGGTGGGCGTTATGTTCGGGGTGTGCTCTGGGAATGGGCATGAGGGTTTTATCGATAGTTAACCATACCATTGCTTGTTCTTCATATAATCACACATCCACTCCATCAGGTCCGGTGTCTACCCCCTGGTAAACTTGCAGCTCAAATCCAGATTCCAACGAGAGGGAGCGAGTGTAAGACCAGACCAGCAATCACACTATCTGCTGTTCAATCGTAACACTCCGGTCCTGCATCACTGGACGCTGCGACCTCACTTCGACTCCACCGTCGCCAACCCCTCGAGCTCGGCCCCAACAACCCTAACCGCCTCCCGCCACGCCTCCTCGTCCCCGCACAGCCTCGCCCGCAGATACGCCCACGTCACCCGCTGCACCACGCCGACCCGCTCGACGCTTTCATCCGTCGTCTCCCTAGCATCGTACCCCGCGATGCCGCCCAGTCCATGCGTGGCCGCCGCCACCGTCAACAGACTCTTCGGCGCGGGGCCGTGCACATACGCATCAGCATGCCACTCGGGCCCGCGCACCGTCAGATGCGGCGACGCGTCGGCGTCCCCGACCGCCACCAGCGCCGGGGTGCGCATCTCCGCGAAGCTCGTGCCACGCAGAAAGGCGTACCGCTCGGCCGCCGCGGGGCTGAGCGCCTCCCCGCCGTTCCCGATCGGCGTGAGCAGCACCCCCGCTTGGATGCGCGGGTCGAAGAGATCCACGACGCGGCCGTCGGCCGGGTCCGTCAGCCGCATCCCCAGGAGCATGGCCGCCGTGTGCGACCCCATCGAGTGGCCTGCCACCGCGATGCGGGTGTGGTCCATTCGGCCTTTGAGGGTCGGGGCGAGCTCCTCGATGAGCGCCAGGTGGTCGAGGATCAGTTTCATGTCGTCCACGCGGGAGCGCCAGAACAGTGGGGCGCCCGCGACGGAGGGGTCGAGGCTGAGGGACTTGGAGCTGAGGTGGGTCGGTTGGACGACGATGAAGCCCCGCGCGGCCCAGAAGGAGGCCAGTGGGCCGTAGCCGTGAAGCGAGGAGAGGTGGTTCGAGGGGCCGTGGCCGTGCGAGAGGAGGATGATGGGGAGGGGGCCCGGGCTGTTGTCGGTGGTGCTCGGGGCGGTGATGCGCATGTGCAGGTCGATGATGCGGTTGGGGGCCGGCAGGATCACCGGGCTGATGGAGATGGTTTGCTCGGGGGCGGGGGCGGGGATCTTTGCGGCTTGGCCGATGAGGGCGTGGTCTTGCGGACGCCGGGCGCTGGAGGTGGTGATGGTGGAGTGGTCTTGAATGGTCATCTTGGGGTTTGGTCTCTTTCCTATCTTGAGTCTGTGTGTGAGTGTGTGCTTTGGTAAACGCTGGTCGAGTGCATTGAGTCGGAGGGAACGACGAGCGGTATTTATATACATGCTTTGGCTTCGTCGTAGTAGGGTCTGAAGGGATTTGATGCTGTCAGACTGTGTCAGAGCTTATAAGACCAACAGTACACTAAGCCCAGACTAGAGAAACTGGCGAGTGCTATGGCATACTTTAAGCGACCATCGGGGATAGCATCGGATCTTACAGATGCAATGCTTCGGAGTTAGACTCGGTCCAAAACCCGAGGGCGCAGTGACTGTCCCTTATCTCCATAAACTCCATTGCTTAGAAATGCAATCTCATTGTGGTCAACTAACGACATCAAAGTCGAAAAATCAGTCTCAGTAGCATGCAGGCTGGATAGTACAGATGCAATGGCACCAGTTCACGCCCAGGGCCAGGCCAGCATCCCTTCGCCTGCCAGTATCTCCCGACTGCCTGGCTCTACCCCAGTCTCACCATATCGTAAACAAAGCACATCATTCCTTGGAAATCACTTCTTCAAACTTGTTTCATCCAGTACCTCCTCTCCGAGCTTCAATATGTATGCCCTTCACCGAGAAGCCGGTAAACCGCCTTGGCCGCAAAGACCGTCGAATAGATCCCAACGCAGAGAAAGCCCATCCACTCGCACACCAGCAGCACCCGCGCGTATGGATCGAAGCACCACTGGATCACGGCGGCCGCTCCTTCACAGACACACAGATCCTTGCGCATGGAAAGCTCGTCCTTCAGGGCTCGGGCCCACAGCCCGGTCGCAGGGAGGGTCTTCCAGAACAGGAGGTTCCACAGGTAGTCGGTCGCGATGGTCGAGTAGAGCTGGGCAAAGTAGGTCGACACGAGCAGGCCGCAGCGGCTGTGGTTGATCAGATAGGAGATGCTGCAGTAGAGGAGGAGGCCCGCGGCGAGGGGCGAGGAGTCGGTGATGGCGGTGAGATGGCGTTTGATTCCTGGAGCGAGGTTGGTGGTCATGATGAGGGTGAACGTGAGGACTGCGAGCTGGTTGATGAGGGCGACGATCTGGGTCATTGTGGTGCTTGTCTCGAGGGTTTGGTCTGATCTCGAGGAGTGAGGTTGATTTCGGTGGGTGGCTGGGAGTGGAGGTGGTGGGAAGTTGTAGAGTAGAGAAGGAGGTTGATATTGGGTTAGCTGTTGATAAGTGTTATGTTTTTGAATGATGGAGTGTGTTGTGGGAGGAATTCTGTTCTCATGTGGGCCGTATGTACAGGTTTGGCTTCCGACTGCGATATTCACTTGAAGTACCATGAGAACAGTGACCTTCCCACATGAATGCTCCGGCCATCCATTGCCACCACGTGTGGGTCCCTGTGATGATGAATCTCCTTATCATATAGATGAAGATAAAGGAGGGAAACCGGTGAATATAATCACCTCATGCTCTCAACTCGATGTACCCAGTACCGCTCCCACTCCTCTTCGGTGTCTGCCGTCTGACATACCCCAGTGCCCTTGCCAGGCTCATTCCATTAACTTTCTTCCAGGATAAATACTGAAGTAATCCAGTCAGGCTTGGGAGGTCACGCTGCTGCCTCGAATGATCATTAACTGGCAATGTCCGCATTCCCCAAGAAATTTTAAAGACTTGATTGTCGAGTTGAGCGCATAGTTCGTACTTGAGACGGTTGGAAAGATCTCATATTGCTGGATAGCTTGATGATAAGGGATATTGAGCGACAAATATCGAAAGGACGAGTGACTGGCGCGGCTGCCCAGTTGATATACCCTTGGAAAGTCCGGTTTTCTATCCATGCTCAAGACAGGAGCTGATCATTTCCGACACACACCGTTTCCGAAGGCACCTTGCGCTAAACATCTGAAGTCCAGAAATCTTCAACTCTGAGTCTGCATCAAGATTTTCTTTTGGTTTTTTTTTTTTTTTTCTTCTTTTTTTCTTTTTCTTTCTTTTTTCCCCCTTTGTTTTTTCTTCAAGTGAATAGCGTTGCCATGCCCAGATGCGTCGAAACCGGGATACGCCTTTACCAGGAGCGCGCTGAGTGTATCATATTTAGGCAGACAAAGAAGAATCATGAGCTTCAAGATTCAAAGTTCTCAATAGCGGGACCAGGGCATTTGAAGCGAGTTCGAGCACGAATACGGAAGCGTAGAAACACAGCCAGCTGCGTGGCTCGACTGGCTCGACCCGTCGATTATCTTATCTCCGATGGATCTCGGACTCGGGTTCGGCTTCGTATTCGCACAAGAGGGTCTAGAGTCACGATGTCGGTCGACTACAGCTCTTCTTATCCCAAAACATGCAGTGGACCAAAGTACCAATTTTAGAATTGTTCTTGAAGATCTATACACTGCTGCCTGCACACTCGCAAAGCTTGATTCAAGAGTTGAAGTTTGTGTCGTACATATATCTAGCATTCGCACCTCAATTCTGCGTGTTTAACGCTGACTTCGATCTACTCTATACTCACTAATTCAGACAAAAACAATCGAAATGACGGAAACAACCCTTTATGCTTATACACCGTCCGTGACGTGCGCCCTGCTGGCGCTGTTTCTCTTCCTCGGTGCCACCGCGTACCACCTCTGGTTGCTAATTCGGAAGCGCGCATACTTCTTCACAGCCTTTGTGATCGGCGGCTTAAGTATGAGCTTCGTCGTTCATCTCCAACCCAAGACTCAGCTAATACGGTCGCAACAGTCGAGACAATCGGGTACGTCGCGCGGGCCGTGAGCGCCCACCAGAAACCGAACTACACCGTCATGCCCTACGCCCTCCAGAGCCTCTTCATCCTGATCGCCCCGTCGCTCTTCGCCGCCTCCATCTACATGATCCTGGGCCGCATCGTCACCCTGACCGACGGCGACTCGCGGTGTCTGATTCGCGCGCGGTGGATGACCAAGATCTTCGTCCTCGGGGACGTGCTCGCCTTTCTGATGCAGTGCGGCGGTACGATGCACCTCCCCGGACTCTATTCCGCAAACTGGCACTGACAATGTCTCGCAGGCGGTGGCATTCTCTCCAGCGCCAAGACCAGCAGCACGCTCAAGCTGGGCGAGAACGTGATCATCGTCGGCCTGGTCGTGCAGATCCTCTTCTTCGGCTTCTTCGTCACCGTCGCAGTCGTCTTCCACAGGCGCATCACCGCGAACCCGACGTCGACCGCGATGACGTTGAGCGTACCGTGGAAGAGGTATCTGTGGGTGCTGTACGCGGCCAGCGGGCTGATTCTGGTTCGGTGTCTCTATCGGGTCATCGAGTATGCGCAGGGCTCGACGGGGTCGCTGCAGAGCCATGAGGCGTATGCTTATGTCTTCGACGCGGCGCTGATGCTGATCATGATGGGAGTTTTCGTGGTGTATCATCCGAGCCAGATCCTTGATCGCGGAAAGAATATAGCTGAGATGGACCGGCTGTATGATAGGGTTTAGTGGGGAAGTGGAATGTTGCGTTGTGGTCGGGGTGGTTATTCTGGATTCATTTAAAGCTTCGCGTGCTTTTGCAAGATGAGACCAAAAAGCAGCGACATTACCATACAAGACAATATGGCCGAGCGGTCTAAGGCGATAGACTAGAAATCTATTCTCTTCGGAGGCGTCGGTTCAAATCCGACTGTTGTCGTTTTTTGCTTTTGGTGGTTTTTCCTGGGTGGGTCTTCACGGGAATAGCTTCATTTTGATGCCTGATTACACAGGTAATCGCTATTGTCGCGACCAGAAGCAAGTCAGGAACACGGTGATATGTTCCTCCATTGATAGGCTCTGATGTATCCATAAAATCAACCATATATCTGCGCTTTCCATGAGCACACTCAAACAGCGCTTGAACATGTCACTAGTTCGTGCTGCCCTCTTCCACATGCTGAGCCCTCCCACTCCACTCAGCTTTGACCTCCATCGTCTCGCCCTCCACTCCTTGCACTGACTTGTACGCGACCTGATACACTGTATACCAGGGCCGCTGGAAAAGACCATCCAATTCCTCCAGCGACCTTCCCGTCGTATCCTAGTCACATTAGCCCAGTCAGATTTTCAATAGAGCCCAGCGAACAAGGGCGACTCACCGGCATCGCGAAGTAAACATAAACCAAAGACACCAAGCAGACGCAGGCGAAGAACACAAACGCCCCCCACTGATGCGTGGCCGCCAACAGACTGGGCATCGCGCGGGAGCACCCGAAGTAGAAGGCCCAATGGAGCGCCATGGAGATGGAGACATTGAGCGACCGGATGCGGATGGGGAACACCTCCGACCCGACCAGGTAGGGGATACTGAACCAGCCGATGCTCCAGGCGACCGCGTGGAGGAAAATGGCGACAATTGCGGCGGTCGAGGCCCGCGACGCACCGGCAGATGCCCGAATCTCGGCCGTAGACATGGTCTGCGTGGCGCCGAGGTACGCGGCCACGAAGACCAGGGTGGTGAGCTGGAGGCCGATGCCGGCGAGAAGGGACCGCCGCCGGCCGAGGATGTCGACCATGAACAGGGCGAAGAACACCGTGCTGGTGAACTTGACAATCCCGTAAATGCCCGTAGTCAGGAAGGTGGTCTCGTCGCCCGAGATGCCCAGGTAGGCGAAGATGCTGGGCAGGTACTGCGTGATGGCGTTGGCGCCGGACCACTGCGAGAACAGGGTGGCCATGAAGATGAGGAAGAATCGGCGGCGGTTCTCGACGGGGACGAAAGTTTCTTTCAGTAGGTCGACCAGGCTGGCGTTGCTGGTGGATTCCATTTCGTGGAGGATCTGTGCGTCCATCCCTGCGAGTTCGGTCTGGACCACGGGGTGATCTCGAGGGAGGCTGCGCAGGCGAGACATCGCTGTGGTTGCCTCGTCTGATCTTCCACGCAGGAGGAGCCAGCGGGGTGACTCGGAGCAGAAGAAGGAGCCCGTGATCCAGATAACCACCGGAGCCAGTTGTAGGAGGGTAGGGAGCATCCATTGTATGTCCACGCCCGGATACTGTTTTGTGACTCCGTAATTGATGAAGAATCCCAGCACCACGCCTAGTTGTTGGCAAGATGCAAACAGGATGGTGAGAAGTCCGCGAATGACTTTCGGCGAGATCTGGAATGTGATTGACAGTTTAGAACAGGAACATGGGGCTGTTTGTACAACTTACCTCGGTGATGTAGACAGGCGGCACAATTGAGAGAGGTCCAATACCCAGCCCCGCGATGAATCGCGAGGCATACAGACCAGATAGATTGCCATGACAGAGGCCTTGACCGAGAATGCCTGCCAAATAGACGAGGGTAAAGATCCGGAGGGTCCAGCGTCGACCTAGCTGATCATTGACGGGCGAGCACTGTTTTAGAGTTGGTCCATAGTCAGCTCAAGCCAAGACTGCCTCATGGCTATTCTTACCCCGAGGCATCCAAAGACAGCACCGGCGGTGGCGATGGAAACAATCCAGCCCTTGGTATTGGAGTATTGTGTGGGACTCTGCGTGTCAAGGCCAAATCGAACCTTGAAGTGAGACTGCGAGACTAGAGATGCGATGTTTCCTGGCATGCACGGGAGATATAAGCACTTTACAGACTCTTTAGGTGAAGCAATACCTAGGTAAAGTGATACCACTTACCCTCATCGAACCCCTTCGATACTCCAGCGAGGGCAAACACACATGTACAGAACAGTACATGGCGATTGAATGTGCCCTCGGGGGCATCCTTCATAGCCTTTCTCGCGTCTGCAATGAGACCCATCGTGATGGTTAGTGTCTGCAAATGCTTGCCCAACTTCACCCCACGGACGCATGAGAAATATAGATCTTCTCCATTGTACCATTCCCTCGCCCCGCATTCCCCCAGCTTATGCCAACCCTGACCACAATCCTAATGCACCCCCCGCTCGACATCCCTCGTCGGAGAAATCCCGGCCAGCCCCAATGAACTGCGTCGATATTTATCCCCGTTCCCAGCCCAGTCATCCGCCGCCGTTTCTTCGCGACAACCAGTACCCGGACCCAACCACCACGATGAACTTCTATCCTCCGCCCCCAATCATCCAAGCCGAGGTCTATGTGCGCATCCCGGACTCCCTCCGGTGCACCGGTCAGCCCACAGAATGGCGCCCGGGATCCGCCAACCCCGCGTCGGATATTTTCCTGGAGGGGCCAACCTACGTCTCCAACGGGGACCTGTACCTCGTCGACATCCCGCACGGCCGGATCCTGAAAGTGGACATTGACAAAAATGTGAGCGAATGTGTCCGGTGGGACGGCGAGCCCAACGGGCTGGTGGTGCGTGAGGACGGGTGCATCGTGGTGGCGGATTACAAGCAGGTAAGGCATACCCGCCCACCTCACCTCCCTCTAGGGCAGTGCGTGCATGCTTCAGGACCACTAACTAAATGAACCACAGGGCCTGCTGCTCTTCGACCCCTCCACCAGCAGAGTCAGCCCCCTCCTGCCCCGCCGTAACCTGGAGCGCTTCAAAGGCCCCAACGACCTGATCATCGCCTCCACGGGCGACCTCTACTTCACGGACCAAGGCCAGACGGGCCTCTCCGACCCCACGGGGCGCGTGTACCGCCTCACCCCGGCGGGAAAGCTCGACACTCTGATCGCCAACGGCGTCTCCCCGAACGGGTTGGCTCTGTCCCCCGACGAGCGGTTCCTGTACGTGGCCATGACGCGGGCCAACGCCGTGTGGCGCCTCCCGCTGCATGCCGACGGCACCACCAGCAAGGTGGGGTTGTTCTTCCAGTCATTCGGGTGCGCGGGGCCCGACGGGCTGGCCGTCGATGAGGAGGGGAATCTGTTTGTGTGTCATCCCAGTCTGGCATCGGTGTTTGTCGTCGATAGGGAGGGGGTACCCAAGGCGAGGATCGTGAGTGCGGTGGGCGGGGGAAGGAATTTGACGAATTGCACGTTTGGGGGGGTGGATGGGTGCTCGTTGTTTATTACGGATAGTATTGAGGGGGTCGTGCAGGTGGTCAGGTGGCATTGTCGGGGGCTGCCTGTTGCCCGGGGGGTAAAGGGGTAGTGTCTATGAGAAAAAATATCAGATTTTATACCGAGAAGTTTTACGATGTAGATTGGTAAGTGCGTAGTGTTGTGAGTCGGGCCATCTTGATGCTTTAGGCTCATACTGACAATAGTATGTATAGGTGGATAGGTGAGTCACTGATATCAGGCGACAGCTTCAATTGACGTTTCTCGATACCTTCCACCCAGAAAATCCATTCCCTTAGGACTGCACTGGGCAAATGCTAGGGTGGACGATGCGTGCCCTAAAGCCGCGGCGGGAAATCTCCGACGAGCACTGGAAAATCTCCGGGCAGCCCTCCGAGCGCCGCCGGGTTATAAGGACCCTCCAAACCATTCTAGATAGTACCCCACACAACAAAGGCACATCTATCTTATCATCATCTACTTTACATCACGCTTGAGCAATCTCACCAATCCATCCCTGCAAACAAACTACGACAGCCACCAAAATGGGCTCCATCACCCCCCTCCCCACGGACCAGCCCCCTCACCCCTACGCCCTCTCCAACCCCTTCCGCACGCGCATCCTGGCCGGCGAGATCACCCCGCTGATGTCCATCAAGTTCATCACCAGCAACGAGATCCCGATGGTGTGCAAGATGGCCGGGGTGCACGCCCTCTTCATTGATATGGAGCACTCGGCGCTTGACCTGCACCAGGTGGGCCAGCTGATCCTGGCCTGCAACTACGCGGGCGTGTCAGCCGTGGTGCGCAGCCCCAGCAAGTCCCACTGGCACATCAGCCGGATCCTCGACGCGGGGGCGTCGGCGGTCGTCGTCCCGCACATCGAGACCCTCGACGAGGTGCACGCCCTCGTCAAGTGCGCTAAGTACGCGCCGCTCGGCGCCCGCGGGTGCACCAACAACCTCCCCGCGTTCAACTTCCAGCATGTGCCGACCCTGACGCAGAATGAGGTGCTCAATCGCGAGACGATGCTGATTCCTATGATTGAGACGCCGGCGGCGGTGGAGATCGCGGAGGAGATTCTGGCGGTCGACGGGGTGGATGGTGTGTTGGTCGGGTCGAATGATCTGTGTGCCGATTTGGGGATCCCGGGCAAGTATGATAGTGCCTTGTATCAGGATGCGGTTACCAAGGTGCTGCAGGCGGGGAGGAAGGCGGGCAAGCCTGTGGGGATCGGGGGGATTGGGAGCCGATTGGATATTCTGGAGAAGTGGTTTCAATTGGGCGCGTCGTGGTCGTTGAGTGGACAGGATGCGTCGATGTTGCAGGCGGGGTTGAGGCAGATGGCGAGGAATTATGCGGAGATTGGGGAGAGGGTCGCCAAGTCGACGTGAATAGGTCATAGATATAGGGGGAGAATGTTTGTCAGATTATCATACAGTCATATATGCATCATGTTATAGAGTGTCTTCTGCATCGTCGCAAATGTTCATAGACTCTCGTCGTGCAGCAGCGAGGAATAAAACAGCGGATCCCCGTACGCGTACTCGCCCAGTCCGTATTCCGTGTTCCAGAAGGTGCTGTCGTCGAAGATGTCGAGCGAGAAGAGCGAAGGATCAAGCTGGGGGTCATTCTCAAGCGGAGGGTCATTGTTGTTGCTTGAGTGCAGTTTGTGGTTGAGGTCGAGGGAGTTGGCTGGGTAAGGATTGGCATCTCCCTGCACTAGCAACTCTTCCTGTGCAGTTGCTCGCTCGTGTCGACAAGCCTCATCCCACTCCCCGGCCGACCTCGGCACCGTCCGCATCTTGCTAATAACGTGCGAGCGCAAGGCCTCATAAACGGCGATGTAGTGCACTGCATCTGGTAGCTCCTTGCCCATCCTCTTCAGGGCCCTTTCGCTCTGCTCCACTGCCTCAACGGCCTGCTCCCGCACGGCGGAGGTCGGAACCGCGAGAGACGAGAGGCAGAACATTACGGACAGCCCGGCTGTGAAGAGCATCTGGAAATAGCTACGTGTGTACGTGATCGTGTTGGCGTCGAACAACGGGCAGAATGTCTGGATTGTCGCAATCGCATACTCCAGACAGAGCGACAGCAGATCTTCCGGGGGTGTGTTGCCCGATTTGGGCACCAGGTCGATCGCCTTGCGCACCAGCAAGAGTCTCTCCCTCATGAGAAGCAGGTCATACCACACCTGCATCTGGTACAGGCTCTGCGGAGCGGGGAACACGGGTGCTGAGAGACGCCACTCCTGCAGCTCCTGAAGCAATTCTTCCAGGTCACCGTATATTCTCCCCGACGCCGTGATGTCCTGCATCGTAGCAGGGTAGACTGGCGACACTGGGGCCTCCTGGTGCCGAAACCTGGCGTGTATTTTCGAGGTGATCTTCCGCAGCCGTACGCAGAGGAAGAACACCGACATCTCCGTCGTCGTGCCTGGACTCCGACACGCAATCGCCCGGCAGAAGGAGTCCAGATCCGGAAACGAGCCGGATGCCTCTGCGGCGTCGATTTCCTCGTCGCTCGCGTCCGCGGGAAGGCCAATCTGGATGTCCTTCTCCGCGATCGCGAAGGGCCGGTCCAGGGTAATGGAACTATAGCGGTCGATCATGTAGCATTTCCAGAACACTCGCCGTTGCATTTGCTGGTGCAGGAGGCTGCTTCGACTCCCGGGCTTTGCGCGAGGTGGCCTGTGAAGGTTTTGCTCGATGCACATGCGCATGCAGAGTGTTGTGAGCTCCCAGATGGATGTTCCTGGATGAATATTAGCTTTTCTGTTTGGTCAATAATTGAAACGGAGATTTTCACTACCAATGTGATGATATATACCAAATCTCACCACTAAAAGTAAGTCTTGTATTGAGTCTAGTCCCTTGGACAGTACGTTGAAATCCAGATGATCCATGGCAGCCAGGAAGTATCCATATGGGTGGCTCGTGTGTCTGCCAGATCGGTATAGAGGCACTGCTCCAATGGCAAGAATCATAAACACTCGGAAGTCAGTCAGTCGTTGCAGAGGGGGTGGGAGATTTGGCCGGGACGCAGCGCCGTGAGCACCCGAGAAAACTGAATGATAGAGCTGTTGGACGTCGCGGCGCAGCAAGAAGGGATTCTGCACGTGGGAGCCATTTAAACTACGTTCCTTCAGCCAAGCGTCTCAGTCAGCACCAGGCACGTTACCTACTAGGCGTTAAAGAGTAAGTGTGCTTCCTCCGGCGGGGGCAGAGAATTGGCTCGGATGGAGGTTTCCAGTACCGCTGAGGGCTTGGACAGGTTTTGCAACAGGCTGACGTTCTGGTCTCTCCACCTGGTGTCTGCAAAGAGCGTGCTCATGAAGCTGAGATAAAGATGTTAGACGATACACACCCGGGATGATGAGGACATACTTGATCCCCGAGAACTCCACCACCCTAGGAGACGGGTCTGCCGGCGACGTCCATGCATGTGTTGCTTGTGCTGGGGTTTCCTGCTCTCCAAGAGATCTCTCTGCTGGTGCAGTGAAGACAACCGGTGAACGCACTGATAAGACCGGGGTATTCGCTTCACTCGCAGCCTCAGGCGATTGGGTTTCCTGCGTCTGCTGCTCCAGTTCCCAGATGTATCTTTTCCTGTCAGCAGTGGCGTGTAATTGCAGTATTGAGCACATACTCGCGTGAGACAGGCTCACTGCCATCGAGACTGACTGTGATGCAAGCGGTTCCTGCTCTACTACAAGGACCACATTTAGGACGCTCGTTGTCGCACTGTTATGTGGTCAACTAGGCCCAGTCGTTGCTTCTACGGTGGATACGTGGAGAAGCTGAACCATACCTTGGTTTTCTTGGTATAGCATGATTGGCATGCTGGGAGTCTGGGTAGTTTCAACTTGAGGCCGTCTACATCAGGCATGGTGCACTTGACTTGCGGGAAAAGAAGAAGGAGATCTTGGCATGCAGCCTAAAAAGCTGGAATGAAAGTCGAGGATTTACATGATATAAAAGAGATTTCGAGTGGGGGAAATGCGGGGGCCCCGCGTATGGTATCGTACGGTACGGTACTCTACTTGGTCCTCGGCAATTCTACTTCCGAGATGGATGAACGATTTCATTCTTCGAATGAAAATGTCTCTTGTCTAAACTCCACTCCATTCCCGACCTCCCCATCAGCTGCGTCGCAAGAGCCCACATTCAAGGTCTGTACAGCAGTCAAGCTAGATCACATATCGAAACCCATTCAAGATGGCGCGCCGCGAGTCTTGGTCCAATCGCTGCATGGCAACACTATCGTTCACCTCCATCGTGGTTGCCAACTCCTCGAACCTTCTGTTGGCGCGACGAAGCAGAAAACGCAGCGTTAGGATACACGCCATTCCGAGACACTCAAAAGCGAGGATACATCCCCAAGAGACCCGATACGTGGGTTCGTACTGGTCCAACCAGAAGTAGTTCGCAAACAGCGACGCCACGTTGGCGCAGGTGTTGGCGATACCGATCGCCACGGCTCGTTTGGCCGGGGGCTGCACGATGGTCGAAGACAGCCAGGCGTAGGTGGTCGCATAGACACCGTACGTTCCGCAGCAGATCAGAAAGGTGAAGGCGTAGCGCGCCCACTGCTGGGACTCTGGTACCGCAATCAACAGAATGGCCGCAAGAATAGCCACCCCCTCCGACACGCCCGCGGGAATGGAGCGAGTCTGGCGCTTATCGGCCCACCAGCCCCAGCCTACAGCCCAGAAGAAGCCCACGACGTAGGGTGGGGATGTGAGCAGGAGCACGACTGTGTTGTTGGAGAACCCGATCTCTTTGATCAGTGTGGGGAAGAAGTGGGAGAAGGAGATGGTGGCCGTCGTGGCCATTTGCATGCAGGCAAAGATCCAGGTGCGCACGTCCTTGGCGGCCCAGATCAATGCCCGGGGCAGGGGCACTTTCTCATCTTCCAGCGCGTTCTCCGAGCCGGCGTCCTCGGCGAGACGCGCCTGCGCCACGATCCGTTCGGCTTCAGTCAGCCATTTGGTCGTGGCGGGGAAGTCGGGCAGGAAGGCCATGGCTACGAGGGCTACAACAACGGTGGCAAGCCCCTCGATGATGAACAGCCATCTCCAGGATGCGAGACGCGTGGTGTGGTTCATTCCGGTCAGGATTCCGGCGGAAATCAGTCCCGCAAAAGCGTTGGACAGCAGGATGCCCGACACGAGCAATGCGGTTCGCACTCCCAGTTCCTTCTTTGTGTACCAACAGCTGAGGAAGTAGATGGCGCCGGGGAAGAAGGGGGCTTCGACAAAGCCGAGTAGAAACCGGACCGCCATGATACTGCCGACGTTGTGGGTCGCTGCCGTGCATCCGCTCACGATGGCCCAGATGATCATGCATGAAGGCTGTATATCGGGTCAGCTCCATCGGTCGCATTTTGCGGACAGACAGATTGAACATACCAGGTAGATGGAGGGTCGAAGCTTGGTCATGAGCATGGTAGAGGGGACTTGCATCAGGATGTACCCCACTGAAAAGATGGAGATGACGGTCTGATACTCCGCTCCCTTCAGGTGGGTGTCTTCTTGCAGCCCATAGACTCGAGCTTGCGTGATGGAGTTTCGATCCAGGTAGTTGAACAGGTAGATGAGCACGACCAAAGGTAGGATCCGACGATCGATCTTCTTCAGCAGCTCGCCCTCTGTCTTGCGCGCGAACTCTGGATCGTAGCCCCGGTAGGTGGCCATCACCCCGGAACCTCCGTCGGCTGCACAATCTTCGACCCAGACATTCTCGGGCTTAACTTCTTGCTCCAATTCGTCTTTCATGGGACTGCGCACACTCATCCCGAAGATAGGGGTGGATAATACAAGAGAAAGGATCGGACTCACACACCGGGGGTTCAGGCAAAGCTCTATAGGGCACAAATGCAGGAACAACAGTCGCTTCGTTCTCAGACCGGCCTGGGGTATTTATCAGGACCTTCAGCTCCGAGACACCTGGTGGGGAGAGGAATCCGGGGAAGTTTGGGGAAAGGACCTAACAACCACCGCGAGAGACGGAGAATTGCCGACAGAAATGGGGTTGGCTAGGGTTGGCTCCAGACCGGGTGGGGTCGCGTCTCCTTGCGGGACATCTCCGACATCACCTAAGCTTGTACCTCGTACTGCTCTGTAGTGTACATCATACGATTGATGTGCAATCGAGCCTGTGCTCAGTTGACCAAAGTTGCGTTATTTGTTTCTCTCAAATACTGACTGTGGATTATCAACAAGCATCAGACGCCACGCCTCCTCTGACAGCCATCCCCGTAACGCGGCCAGCTCAGCATCTACATCCCCTCCCTGCAACTTCCCACCATCTGTGACCACATGTGGCCAATCGCTTCCCCAGACTATACGATCAGGTGTCCGCTCAGCCATTGCCCTAATGACTGGCTCCATTCGCAGGAAGTCGTCCGGACTGCGACGGTACAAAGCCCCGATCTTCACGTACAACCTTCCCGATCCTAGCAGGTCCATGAAAGCACGGAAATCCGACGTGTCTATGTCATCTGGCCCCGCACAGCCATTATGATCCGCGATGAGGATGGTATCCTGCATGCTCTTATCTTCTATGAGGAAAGGTCTCAGAGAGGCCCACACTGGTAATGGAAGCTGAGCCGAAATGGACCACCCCAGCACACGCACCCCGTAGGACCCAGCCAATGCTCGGAGTTGGCTCCGCACGAGCTCTGGCTGGTCCCTGAATTGTCCATAGACTCCGTGGATGCGAATGCAGCGCGCCCCAGCCTCGTGCCATTGCTCGAACTCCTCCTTGGTCAACCGGTCCAGCTCCGGATCGCAGCAGATGGTGCCCCGGATGGTGATCGATGGGTACAACCTCCGACACTCGGTGAGGTGAGCCAGAAACCCTTCATAGCCATCCTCGATGGAGGCCTGCACGAGCATCAGCTTGTTGGTCTGTCGGTGCCGTACCATCCTCTCGAGCGTGGCCGGTGGAGGGGTGTAGGCGCGCGTTGGCTTGAACGGGAAACGCTGTGGGTCCAGGCAATGGAGATGACTGTCCCACGCCTCGCGGGGGAGCATTGAATTCGGCATTGCGGTTATCTGTAAGGTATGACTGAACGACAGCTTTGTCATTGGCGGCATCCGTGCACTTTTAAGCGAGATGCGGCGCTCGGAAAATACCCGATGTTCTTGAATCAGTATTTACTAGTAATGCCACAATACCTTGGCATTTGCTCCACTTCTTGGTGAGTTGGCCCTCGGGTTTCCTGGGTTTCGTCTGTTCTTCATCACTGGGGAGGAGTCGTCTCTCCACGCAAGATCAACTGTGATCAGCCTGTCAATTCTGAAAATGCAAGCCAGCCCTCGGATTGGTTCCGGGCCGAATCATCTTGTCGCCCCGGGCAAGCGCAGACTCCAAGCATGCGAGAGATGCGCCAAACGGAAACAGAAGGTGAGACCCAGCGCGTGGTTAGGACATTGCCAACAAGAGGATCTAACGAACCCCAGTGTGATCGACTGCTACCGGCTTGTACCGGCTGTCGAGAGGCGAACGCAGAATGCGAGTCGCGGCAGTTGTTAATCAGCCGCACGGCAGAAGAAGCCAGTGGCATCTCCCACGCTGCCATGTCCAAGTAAGAAGCAAAGCACACGCTCATGATAATGTTCCTGTGTAACCGTTGCCTAGCTATGTGGGGACTTTGAAGAGAAAGGCGCAAGAGCTTCACAGTAATGGTCGCAGCCAGCGTGCTTGCCTACGTGCCGCGGCACCGGTTCCTGCGCCACCTGGGTCGACTTCAAGGACTCACGATGTCAGCGCAGAAAGCTCTACTGAATCTCCAGTGACCAACCCTACTCCTGCGACCCAGCAGTCGGTGCAAGCAACCATGGGAGATATTGACTTCCTCTCCCGGAACGCCATGGCCGAGCCACGCAACGAGACGCATGGATTCCCTCCGCAGCTGGGCATGGGAAGCATGGTCCGAGCGGCGCTCGAGATTCCAGGAGGAAATCCATCCCAGTCTGTAGGCTTGAGTGCAAGGCAATGCGCTCTACCAGCTGTGGGTGCGGCCAGCAGAATCACCAAGGAAGTCGCCGAATCATGCCTTCGAAACTTGCTCCAAGGGAGCCAGAGCATTTATCTACCTCTCGATGAACCCACCCTGAAACAGTGTGTGGCAACGACCTTTAGTGGCGAGGTTCAATGCCAGAGCGGAGGCAGCAGCTCCGCGGAGTTCCACCTCCGAAACTTCCGAGCCTGCATGGCCGTCGCCCTGGGCATGCTGCTGTCCGGAGATCACGACTCCAGGGTTTTCGCCAATGACTTACACAGCCTGGCTATGGAGCATCTTCCTGCCGTTCTGCAGAGTATTGACGGTCTGAAAGTGGTCGAATGTCTGCTGTTGCTTATTCACTTCTCCATCCTGAGCCCCCGGGGAGGCTCCACCTGGCATTTAGTTGGGCTTGCCATGAAGAAGTGCATCGCATTGAAGCTTCACAAAGAGCCACAGCCGGAGATAAATCTGAGTGAAGCAGAGGTACTCCAAAGGAAACGGGTATTTTGGAGTCTCTACGTAGTTGATCGGTGGGTACACTCCGTTCTATTGCTGTGAGAAACAGCGTCTGATCATGCTACAGGGCTGTCAGCGGCGTCATGGATCGACCATTCAGTATCGAGGATGAGGACATCGCTATCAAGGTAGGCCTATCTGCCAGGTTGTCAGAGATGGCACTAAAGTTTCGCATGTTCCAAAGGCAGCCGAGTCAGCGGGAGGTGATAAGCAACATCACGTTCTCATGCACGCTAGACTCATGTCAAGCATCCGCACACTAGGCCCCCAGTCTGCTTCCTTCCATCATCACAACCTGCGTCACTGGCGAGACGTAGCTCTCCACGATAAGGGTCCATCGTCACTAGATGCAGACCCTACTGCACAGCTCACGTGCCGGGGGTTTGTGCAGATCTCCAAAGTTGCAGGAATAGCGCCACCTCCTCGTAGGACTAGAGTTCGAAGTGGCCAGGGGTTTGAGGAGGATGTTGCGAATAGCTGCCGGCAGTATATCGACCAAGAGTTCAATAACTTCCAACAAGGATGCTTCACGGGGTCGTTCTTGGATGGGTACGATCTGTTCGCCGCAGGGGTGCTCCTCGTCTGTCAGCCAAATTCTCCTTTGGGTGGAGATACAAGCTTCATTGGCAAATGCACTGCTTTGCTAACGTTGATCGGGGAGAGATTTACGTGTTTCAGAACGATGTGCAGGCTGCTGTGGGATCTATCTGGTGTAGCCCTACATGGAGGAAACAAATTGGTGAGTTCGTGGCAGGTCTGTGGTGTGACAAACACTAATCTGCATGTGCGCAGACAATTGAAGAGCTCCCGGAAGACTTGCCAGACGGACTGTACCATCTGGTCGACCGGTTCCTGCAGAGAATGAAGCAAAGCACCCAAGAACTGATCTCGGAAATTCCCCGACGGGAGATTTCCGACTCGCAATTTGCTCGTTCAGCCGGATGATGTATACATATACCCCAGCAATAAACGATGATAGTTTCTGCACTAACATATCCTCTGACTACCCACGAGTTGCAATCTTATTCCAACGAAGCACAGTCAACATGGCACCCAGCATCGCTGAATCCTCATCACCAGGCGGTACTTCCACTGCCCAGAAGCCCACCGTTTACGTCCTCGACACCTTCCCCCCCAAAGCCATCGAACACGCCCACACCCTTTTCCACCTCATCCAGCCCAGTGACCCCGAGTTTCAGCACTGGCGGGAAAATGCCCGAGCCCTGCTGATCCGAGGCTCGTACGTAACCGCCGCCGACATCGCCAGCTGCCCCAACCTGGTCGCCATCGGCAAGCACGGGGTGGGGATCGACAAGATCGACCAGGCCGCGTGCCAGGCCCGCGGCATCCGCATCCTAAACACCCCCGGCGCCAACGCGCGCGACGTCGCCGAGCTGGTCGTGACGCTGGCCCTGGCCGTGGCGCGGGGGATCCGCTCCATCACGACGCGGCAGATGGCCAAGCCCGTCCCGAAGGAAACGTGCAACGGGCTCACGCTGCACGGCAAGACGATCGGTATCATCGGGATGGGCAACATCGGGCGCACGGTGGCGGAGATCTTCCACGGGGGGTTCAACGCTCGCATCGTCGCGTATGATGCCTACATGCCCGCCACCGGGGTCTGGGAGCATTTGCCCCATGTGCGCGCCCAAAGTGTCGAGGAGGTGATCACGCAGGCGGATGTGCTGTCGCTACATGTGCCGTTAACGGAGGAGACGCGCGGGATGCTGTCCTATGCGGAGATCAAGCGCATGAAGCCGGATGCCATCCTCATCAATGCGGCGCGGGGGGGTATTGTCGATGAGGCAGGGCTCGAGCGGGCTATGTCCGAAGGCCATCTCTGGGGTGCCGGACTGGACTGCCACGAGCAGGAGCCTCCCAGTCGGGAGAAGTATGGGGCGCTCTGGGAGAATCTGAATGTCATCAGCACGCCGCATATCGGGGCGGCCACTTCAAGAGCGCAGCTGGCGAGTGCGACTGCTGCGGTGGATAATTTGCATGCGTACTTGTCCAAATTATAATCTGGATAAGCAGGTTCTTTTCAAGTCGGTCTGTTAGAGGTTTAGTTGGTTTTCCTTCGTTGTCAAATCGTCTCTCGGCGTCAAGGTGTGTCCAGTCATGCATAGTGATTTCATTACTTGCGCGACATTATTTCCAAAACGACCCGTGTTGCAATTAAGCTTTAAAAAGAATGCAGAGATTTCTCAGTGCTTCTGCTCCACCTCTAGGTAGTCCCTGCTTCAGAGCTAATTAGAATCCACAGAACGTGCCTCAGAGAGAACATGTGGATGTGCCTATTCAGTTGGATCGCTTGGAGAAAATAAACCGCACCACCAATGGGTGAACAAAGGCTCGCTGGTCGGCATTGCCCAATTTACCAACCCAGACTACTTCGAGGTGCTGTGAGTGGTGAAGCTGAACCTGGCCATCGGGTGCCCGTGGTCCGCCCGACATCGTACCAGAGCCCCTTGATCGACCTCGACGTTGTGCCGGTAGTGCGTCGCCGTCGAGTCCTTGGAACCCTCATTTGTCGAATTAGGGCTTAGCGAAGCCGTAGTAAGTCCACCGGCGTGATCGGCCTCAACGCTAAGCAATCCTGCCAAAGCGCTAACACTTCAGGCCACGGCCAGTCTGCGCCGATCCGAATCATCTAGTGAAGCCGTCTGGCTCGCCACTCCGTCGTGAACTGTTCTGCAACCAAAATGCAGCTTCTCGAGACGAGATCTTCTCCACCGTCACCGGCCAATCGAACAGAAATCGCCCCGAAATCTCCAAGTCCCACCATGTGAGGCCAGCAGTTTCTTCTGAATCATTGTTCTCTTTCTTGTTGCCAATCCTCCGCAACACCCCCTGTCACAGATACAGACAGGGATTCCTGAATATCCCTGCGCATCCCCACCGACATCATTCCTAACGCATCATACGGGAGAGACAGCACTGGCCAATGGACATGGCTCGTCTACGAGTCTACCGGATATTTTCGACGCTGCAGCCAGCAGTCCGACAGGAATCTGCATCTATGTCCCCGGAGAGACGAGCGGGAATTGGGTTCGTGGAATGTGAGGGCGATCATGCCGACATGTTGAATCCGCAGTTTGTGGAGGGGTTTGAGGCGAGGTTGAGGCGTGTGTTGGAGGAGAGGGGGTTGTAGGTGCTTGGTCTCCTCCCACTGCCCTTTCGCCATTGAGTGAGAAGATCTGTTGACGTCTTTGTTTCGGGAGGTTTGGTCTTTGGTGGGTGATGTGATGTTATTTCCTATCCGTGAAGTGGCGATCCTACCAAGTTTATCGTTCCCATGACCAAGGAAACTCTCATTTTAGCTGTTATTCATGTCTTCTACCGCGGTTCTTATACAATTCATTGATAGTTTCGATTCGATACCTCCGCTATTAAATTTTTGAGTACAACAAATGCCTAGCTAAGGGTTCAAGGCTTTGATTCGAATGAATTTGCTATTTTGATAACAACCCCAACAGTAACTTATCTTTGTGTGTACTTCGATGGCCATGCGTGGAATGACAATTGGTTGATGCTATTCCCGGAATATGTACCTTTCACACTCCAGGACTGTCTATGCATTGACCTCGATCTTTCCCGGTTATCCTCCCTCCTCCACCACCCCAGCGCCACCGACTTCCGGACCTCTCGGTCCTCAACAGGACAGGATCCACTGCTATTGGGACGGCCACTGAACCAGCGTAGTGGCATTGCCTGTCAATGTCAACGCCAGTACCGCCGATCGCTCGTTGTTAAGCGCCAGCTCGTAGGATCCCGGATAAATGACGCGGTTGCCCTGCGCGTCGGTGCGGGCGAGACTATCCAGCGACACAGGGACTGACAAGCGCTTTGACACCTGCGGTACCAGTGGTCCGATGCGGTCGAACCCAACGAGCCATTTGTTCGGGTACGGCCGGGGACCCGCAGTGGTGTTGGCGAAGACCATGGCCGTGTAGTCGGAGACCACCTCGCCGGTGTTGGTGACCTCGACGGTGAAGTTCAAGATGGGAAGCTGCTCAGCGAGGTTGTACCCAACATGAGGCCGGGCGAGGAGGGCGCCAATGTCAAAGGAGCCTTCTTGTTCTTGCGCGGGCCCGGCGAGGGCTGTCTCAAAGGTCGTGTAGAACAACCCATGCCCGAAGGCGTAGACCGGCTCGCCCGTGTACCACATGTAGGTTTGGCCAGGGTTGTCGCCGCGGGGCCGCAGGCTCGTGTCCGTGGCCGGGAACTGCAGAGCGTACTCTGCAGGGTACTGCGTCGTGGTCAGTCGACCCGCCGGGGCTCGCTGGCCGGTGAGGACGTCCCACAGCGCCTGGCCGCCGGCCTGGCCGGGGTATCCGCCCCAAAGCAGGGCCCCGACCTTCTCACTGGCTTTCAGTGAGGACGAGTCTACTTGGCCGGCGCCCATCTGCAGCACCACCAGCGGCTTGCCGAGATCCCCGAGCCGGTGAATCAACTCGAGCTGATTTCCAGGCCAGGCGATGCTCTCGCGGTCCAGCTCCTCGGCTTCCAGGGTGTTGTCGATCCCGCCGGCGAAGATGATGATATCGGACCTCTCTGCAGCGGCGAGCGCGGCGGCAAAGCCAGTAGTATCGTTGGACGTGATGTTGGTCCCGAAGGCATAGTTGACCTCCAGCCCGGAAGCCTGCATCGCAGCGAGGGGGCTGGTGAGGTAGGGTGCGACGCCGTGGTAGTTACCCTGCATTTGCTCCGTGGCATTCGCCCACGGTCCTATTAGGGCCACCCGCTGCACGCTCTTGGAGAGCGGCAGAACGCCATCGTTCTTGAGGAGAACGACCCCGGCCACCGCCGCCTCGTACGCCACATTCCAGCCGTCGGTCCGGACAACATCCGCCCAGCTCAGATCGCGATACGGCGCGTCCGGTCCGTCAAAGTAGCCCGCGCTGACAAGATTCGAGTAGAACCGGGTTACCGCCCGCTCCAGCTCGCCCCGGGACAATTGACCCTCTATCAGGGATTCATTGAGAGTGGTTAGGTACGAGATCCCGCAATCGATATCCGTGCCGGCGCGCAAGGACATGGCCGAGGCGCTCGACAGATTGGCCGCGTACCTGTGCGGATTAAAGACATTGTACACCGCGTCACAATCGGACGACATGAACCCATCTTCGATGAAGCCCCACGAGTCGCGGACGAGGGTCTGGAGAAGGAAGGTGTTGGCGGAGCTGGGCACCCCGTTGACGGCATTGTAGGACGGCATCACGCTGCGGACTTGCGCGTCCCTGACCGCGACCACAAACTGCGGGGTGAAGTACTCGGCGAGATCCTGTTGGGTGATGTTCAGATCGTTGCCGAAGCGCGACCGCTGGTGCCAGTTCTCAAGGTCGTAGCCGGCGTAGTGCTTGGCGGTGGCGATAATCTTAGGATGCGTCGCGTTGCCCTGGAGCCCGGTGATGTACTCGTAGGCGTACGCCGAGCACAGGCAATTCGCGTCCTCCCCGGGGGTCTCTTGGCCACGGCCCCAGACCGGGTGTCGGAAGGCGTTGATATTGGGCGAGTACGCGTTTAACCCGTACCGGCCTGCATTATTGAAGGCGCGCCCTTGGGTCGCGATGATCTGGGCAATCTGGTGGATTAGAGTGCGATTGAGGGCCGCCATGGTCAGGATGGGGGATGGGAAGGAGGTGGACCAGCTGTATGGCCCCAAATCGGTGAAGTTGGCGAGATACAGGCCGTGCAGTGCTTCATTCCAAATCTGATAAGGGGGAAGTCCCAGGCGAGGGGTGGCAGGGATGCGGTTTCCCGTGCTACTGATGAGCTCTTCAAGAGTCATCATGGATGTCAGGGCAGCCGCTCGATCATGGGCGTTGGCAGTGCGGTCACAGACCAGACTCTCGCGCAGGGGGCCATTGGAGCAGTCTGGGAACGAGAAGTCGACCAGATCGGTGCTCAAGGGAGACAGGTCCGGATGGGCGACGATACTGTAATCGACATAACTTGTATTGACCTGCGCGAAGACCGGCGTGAGCGACACGAGGGTGACGAGCAGTATTATGACAACCATGACAGATATTGACGGATGGCTGAGGCTCCTCTTTCTGCTCTAGGGTTCAGACTTCACGTCTGATCCATTGAATATATACGTGCCTCCCTTGCTGGGTCGAGCCAACTTTTAATGGCTCATATACTGCGGGAACCCGAGTATTGTCATCACATTCGGCAGTCGCCCGGTCGATCCCCCACCTGCCCATTCCTTTCAGCCTGAATGAGGGGCTCCATGAATGGGGTCTCGATGAGGGTCGTGCAGACCTGTGGGATGGGAGTCAAGGGGTTGAGAGGCAATTGTTCATAACGTCACTTTGCACAACGGCAAACTCGGGCTTTTTCGGGACAACCCCCACGGATAGCTACTTTCTGGACTAGCCCTCGCTCAGACCATAGGAGATGCGTAACGGCATGAGAGGGCTCTGAATACATGGTATATAGAGCTACGCAAGGAACCCACATCGGAACGGGGTTGAAATCAAGCCCGAGACCCTAGTGCTGATGTAACGCAGCGTAGCTAGGTGCGAATAAACGTCCATTCTCGCCCCACTGACTGGTTATTTAGCCTGAATGCGTGATATTCTGGACGTCTGCTCGTCTCGAACTATTTTCAGCTTGATCCGGGCTGCATGAGGTTAGCCGCCACGAGTATCAAAACCCTTCCATACTAACAGAACTCATACAGCATTATGCCACTGTGCAATAGATACCTACCCTGAGCGATAAGTATCATGACCATCCTGACACAGATGGCTCAACGGCAGGAAATAACTATCCTAGACTGTCGATTGTTATCCAGGGCATGACGTGATACTCAATCTCAACCTGATAGACCAAATGCTCTAAGAGAATTCAAACATTCCTGACGGCGGCCCAGGGCCTTGGTGCCTGAGGTGCCAGCTCACCGCCTACCGGCTGCCTTAGCTAGTTCTCCGATAGTCTCGTGTAGAGGAATCAACAAGCCTTCTCCACCTCTCAGAGGCGTCATCAATTCCTACAATCATAATCTCAATGCCCAAGCAGAACAAGCAGGACTGCGTGTCAATTCCCGTGCCAAGATCCACCGAAGATCCGACATACTCTTATCTTATCGAATCTCTAGTCTACCACTGTATGAAAGTATTTCTTCACTAACATTCGGAATGTACACAGCTTTATCCTCTATACTTGAGGTATAATGGCCTCCTTCATCTTCAACGTAGTGGTTTAAAGTTGTCTGAGTAAGATCCTCGCTGACAATGCACACTCTCGAGAAAGGGAAATATAAAATATGTAATAAATCTTGGCAGATGAGAACTACCGAATATTATTACCCCAAGATGAATTAGTTCTGATTGAATTCGATTCAAGATCATCGCTCCAGTTGAAAATACTCATTATTCGGAGAGTTGGGATTGTTGGGTGTGGCTTGCTATAGACCAAGGAATGGGACAAAAATAGGAAGATGGGTAGGGAAACGTTCTGGAATGACCAAAACAAAAAGGTCGTGCCCGGGATCGAACCGGGATTACAGGAATCAGAATCCTGGGTGCTAACCATTACACTACACAACCGGAGGTGTTGAAGATTCTCTGCTTTTAGATGATTATACTAAGCACATGAGATAAAGGCAAAATCTGGATGTCAATCTCTTCTTCAAGCCCGTCAAGAACGACTCAACCGACAGACCCCTTTCGCCCCCGAGGTTTGCACTTGTGATAATGTAAACACTTGCCGAGGCCGACTTCACTTAAGACATTTTGCTTCCTATTGCCCTGCACGGCCCTATGCTATGCCCGACTTGCTGCTTTCAACATGCAGCAGGCCACCACCCATTCGACGAACATGTGCTCACTCCGTGGAGAGCTCCAGTCTTGGCGTCTCTTTCGGTGCTAGCCAGTGCTAGCTAGGGGTTTGTGTCGCAGCTGCAACGCCAACTGTCGGAGGTAAACAACCTTAACCCTGGCGGACCGTCCGGAATGCCCTCCACATCGGCATTTATTCCTCTCCGAACCCTACCCTCATCCTTGGCAACCCGAAATAGCCAGAGCTCCCTAGCTCAAGCTGAGGAGTCCCACCGGCGGACCACGCCTGTCTTCCGACGGACTGTGTCTCCCGTGGTGGAAGGGTCTTTGTCTCTGTGCTCAGTCTCAGACACCCCATCAACCCCTGCAAGAGGATTGGCTGTCATGCCTCAAACCAGTGGCCTGGCGCCAGAAGCACCTTTTTAATAGCTCATCCGGTGTCAAGCTGCGACGTGCCAAGTCTTGGCAACGGTAATGGGGTCTGCAACCGCCCAATGCGACACGGAGGGGTGGATTGACAGGGAGGTAGACCACCAGTATAAATTCGGCTCAAGACTGCTGCATGAACTTCGACAGCACAACACCATCTCTCGCAACCTGCATCGCACGTCAATCATCATGCGCACCACCATCTCCGCCGTTCTGGCTGCTCTCTTGCTGGGCCAGGTCGACGCCGCCGGCGTCACCGGCAAGGCCTTTGGCTTTGCCTCGGGCACCACCGGTGGCGGCAGCGCGGCCGCTGCCACGCCTTCCAGTCTTGCTCAGTAGTGCTCCCCTCCTGTTCATCCCAAGCAGAAAAACTAATGATGATGGCAGACTCAAAGAGTGGATCACCGACGATGTGGCGCGCACCATCATGATCGACCGCGAATGGGACTTCACCGGCACCGAGGGCACGACCACCGGCAAATGCTGCAGCACCAAGACGACCACCTGCCCCGGCGGCACCTCCAAGGGCCAGGCCTGGATCCAGGACCACTGCGACGACGGCACCTGGATCAGCTGCACCTACGACAATGCCGCCAAGTCCCCGCTGGACGTGGGCAGCAACAAGAGCATTGTCGGGGTGGGCAGCAAGGGCGTGCTGAAGGGCAAGGGCTTGCGCGTGCGCGGGGGCAACTCCAACGTGATCATCCAGAACATCCACATCACCGACCTCAACCCCGAGTACGTCTGGGGTGGGGATGCCCTCACCCTCGACGGGGCGGATCAGGTCTGGATTGACCATAACAAGGTACAGTACCTCCCGACCCTACTCCCTCGCCCTCGAACGATGATCATGATCCCCATGCTAAGCGCTGCAGTTCTCCCTCATCGGCCGCCAGATGATCGTCAGCGGCTGGAACAAGGCGGGCCACGTCACCATCTCGAACAACGAGTTCGACGGCAAGACCAGCTGGTCGGCGGGCTGCAACGGCAAGCACTACTGGACGCTGCTGCTGCTGGGCGCCGAGGACTACTACACCTTCGCGGGCAACTGGCTGCACGACGTCTCCGGCCGGGCGCCGCACATGGGCACCGACTACGACGCCTCCACCATCTACTTCCACGGCGTCAACAACTACTTCCAGAACGTCGGCGGCCACGCCTTCGACGTCGACACCAACACCCGCCTGCTGCTCGAGGGCAACTACTTCGACGCCGTCACCACCCCCATGACCCCGGACTCGCTGACCAAGGGCGGCCAGCTGTACACCACCTCCACCGTCGCCGCCGCCAGCGGCTGCACCAGCCAGCTCGGCTATATCTGTGAATGGAACCGCGCCAGTGGCTCCGGCAGCTGGCCCGATCGCACCGACGCCACCGTCTTGACCGAGTTTGCCAAGTTCAAGCAGTACCTCATCGGCCATGTGGGCGTTGCCGAGGTGCCCGCCAATGTGACTGCTCACGCGGGTGTGGGGAGATTGTAAGAGGGGAGTGGTCTAGTCACTACCTAGTAGCCAAAAACCCGAACACGCTTACCAGCGTACTGTACACTAGTCCTAAATGCATCTAATACAATTGCGTGCTTTTGTCTGCTCGATGTTCACGAATTCCACCATCTGTTTCCATCGAATTCATCTAAACGGGGAAGTGGGCTGACGTTGTGACGGAATTCACTTACTGGGAGGGTTGTATGAGGCCTGCGGGACATTACCGGTGTCTGAACCCTAACCTACTCGATACACCAGATACAAACGTACTATACATCCATTCACTATACAAGATTCAGCCCTATACAATCTATAATCTATAATCCAAGCCACCGACCACTCTACTCCAACTTGCTGAAGCCCATCGCCTCCCACTTGGCCCGCACCCGCTCCTTCAACTCGGCGGGATACGAGTTCTCGAAATCGGCCGCCTGCCAGTCCGCCCCCGTCGTGTACTCCGACGGCATCAGGGCGTCGGAGACGACCTTGCCGCCCTGCACGGGGGAGCCGGTGCCGTGGCCCATGTAAGGAATCAGAGGGAAGCCGCGCACATCCTCGAAGAAGGTCTCATCGGCATTGGGGCGGCAGCGTGTCGAAAAAGCCCACATAACATCCTTGCCGTTGTAGACGTCGATGTCCTCGCCGACGAGCACCAGCCGATGGATCGTGTAGCCGGCCTTGTGGTTGAAGACGACGTCGCCGACCTGCTTCTGGAACTCCTTGGCGGTGACCTTGCTCTCGCGCAGCTTGGCCGTGTCGATCTTCAGCGCCACCCAGGTGACCTGGGACTCGAAGGGGGAGAAGGCGTCGGTGACGGGCAGGCCGGCCTGCTGGCAGACCTTGCGGATCTCGGCAGCGGCCAGGGCGCCGATCATGGTGTGGGTCTCGTCGGTGAGGCGGCCGCAGGCGGACATGGGCAGGATGGGGTTGGAGCGGTAGGTAATCTTGTCGACCTTATACACGGGCCACTGGTGGGTGTCGCCGGGGAAGACGTAGCCGTGCATCTCGCCGAAGGGGCCCTCGTCGGCGCGCTCGCTGATGGACAGCGTGCCCTCGAAGACGATCTCCGCGTTCGCGGGGACATAGAGGTTGTTGGTGTCGCACTTGACGAGCTCCAGGGAACGGCCGGTCATCGCGCCCACGTACCCGGCCTCGCTGACCCCGTCCGGGATCGGCATCGACGAGGCCATGATCGCCGCCGGCGGCACGCCGAACGCCAGCGCCCACGGCACGTCCTTGCCCTCCTTCTTCCACATCTGGTGGATTTGCCAGATGTGCTGCGGCTCGATCACCAGCCCCACCAGGTGGTTGCGGTCGTGCAC